TGCATGGCTGTGTTTCGGTTTGAAGGGTGGGATATAGCGTGAATTTACAGGGTACAGAGGAATAACACCTGAGTCCTCAGGAATGGCAACGCATGGGGAGTATCATGGGTATCATACTGTTCCAGTATACTATGTTTGGTACTGCTCATATCTATAGGCGACGGTTACCACTTTCCATCAGGTGGGCCATCAGCTTGTTTGCCATTCTAAGTTGTATAAAAAAAAATTACATTTATAGGCGACAGTAACTTAGAACCAAATATGAGCTATTAGTTTATCTTAGGCGTGTTAGAGAAAAGACCTTAAGGACTGTGCCCATCGCAGAATTGCCTGATGCCTCTGCAAAATGCGAGTAAAACTTTGCTAAAGTCATATCACAATATGTATGTCCATTTTTAAAGACCTCTCTTCAAAAATTATCATAAATAAATATGCCAATGTAGGCCAAAATGCAATATACTTGCGCAAAGTGTTTTTTACTGGATGATAATGGAATGACAAACCTGCCTGCGCTAACGATATATGGTGGCGGGGCACCAGTAAGGGATGATATAGTTAGTAGGTGAGAATGAAAAAGCAGGTCAGTTAGCCTATCGTGATGAATACATCTGGAATTCAACACAATGGTTTCCTGAGGGGAATCATGTGGAGGTCGAACTGACAGGGTATATTGCTAACAATGGGTCTGGTAAACCGCATTACTAACATTCCCTCCCCCCATTCCCATGGATACCTGTTTGTACCGTGTTATCAATGTTACATGCATATATTACAGTCTAAGGCATATTGTGGTAATTACTTTCCATCAAGTAGGTTGTCAACAATGTGGCTCAACCTTTTATATTTCTAGTCATATTGGAACATTTAAAGTACTCTTATTAGTTACTGGACATATAGTTCGTGCTACGAAGGGCACTTAAAACCGAGGCCATGTGAATAAACTTAGAATATTACAGGTTTATAATTACTTCAAAGGTCTTTGTGTTTCACAAACGTGACCTAAAAACTTTTGGCAACTGACAACGCCACTAAGTAGTGTTATTGTACCATCAAGTAGTGCATTTATTGATTTATTAATCCAGAAAATTCCATTGTTTAGATGTATAGTAATAGGATCGAAATATTTTTTTATTTAAAATTAACTACTTACCGTGGTATTACCAGCCTCAACCCATTTTCTCTCTTTTCCAATAATGGAAAATTGTTTTATTAGTGAATGCGTAAGGTTGTTGCAAAAGAATTTGGTACCTACATATATTTAGAACTTAATGTTTTTCATCATAAATTAATTAAGTATGATATATGTTCGTATTTTTTTTAAATCTTGTCATTTTCTTCTGTCATATATTGCTTAAACTTCAGTTTTGTTAAGTTTTATTAATGGAATACCATCAATAATGAAGTAATAACTTAGGTATAATTTTATGAATGTAAACATTAGCTAAGAGATCGTAAATGATGATGATGATGATATTGGTATGCTGATAATTTTATGCATTTATAATATGTATACAGTATTAAATTATAAGTGTAACTAAAAACTTGGCCGTATTGTCCCGGGATAGAATAGGCCACCCCTTCCTTTTTCGTGGGTATCGTAAGAGGCGACTTAGGGAGGGCGAGGGATGGACAGCGTCCCTCTTAAAATATTTCTAAAGCCTAACTGCGGTTGCCAATCCGCCTACCAAGCGTGGCAACTGCTAAAAAAACCCCCCAAGGTGGAGGCTTATATTCAGCAGTGGACAGTTAAGGGCGGATATGATGATAACTAAAACATTTATTAAGAATTTATGTATGGATATAAATGTACTTATCTACGTATGTTTATTTATTTATTTATTCTTTATTGCACAATAAAATTTTGTACAAATGGCGAGCTTAATGCCATATGGCATTCTCTACCAGCTAACCATTGGGTAAAAACAGAAAGCGTATGAAGAGCAGATGTGGTGAAAAATATGTGACAATTATACATAGTAACACATTAGGGCAATACACAATATAAATATAACATACACATAATAAATGCACATATAATACATAAACATTACTTTTAATATATATGGATAAACTTAGCCTTACACATTTTTTTAACGCGCTACCTACCCATTCATTCTTTAATTCCTTCTAACCAAATGTTGTCCGGAAAAGACTGTTTAACAATAAAACAGCCTCTTGTACTATATATCTCCATATGCGTTTAAAAATAGAATTTTCATCGTGCCTCCGATCAAACTGTTTATAATTACTCCTCTCCATCCAAAGATTGCCTGAAAGAAATAACTTTTAGCGATAAGGTCACCCATTGTTTTCTCACTTTGATAATTTCTCGTGATTGTTTGTATTTATAATAAGTTTACTATTCTAATCTTTTGGAGGATGCAATAAAGAGTATTTATCTATCTATCTATAATATAATTATTGAAAACTTCAACATTCATGTAATATGGGTGCAATTGTGTTAAATAAATAAATAAACCTTTATTCACTAAAATTGTTGTTTTTTTTTAAAGGATACTAATGGAATGGTTAGCCCATCTACGCTATTGGTTTACGCTAGCGGGGCATCAGTAAAGTTTTTTTTAATAGGTGATAATGAAATGGTCACCCCGCATGTGCTAACGGTATACGCTGGCGGGGTACCAGTGAGGGATGATAGATGACGATGAAAGCAGGTCAGTTAGCCCATCGTAACGAATTGCACTAGAATTAACGACGATGGTTTCCAGGGGGAACCACGTAGAGGTCGACCTGATAAGGTGTATTGCTAGCAATGGGGCAGTTAGACCCCATTATTTATTCCTTTCCCCCCACCAGTGAAGTAAGTTAGCCCATCGTGACGAATGCACCTGGAATTCAACGTGATTGTTTCAAGAGGTCGACCTACACGTGCCCCCCACGTCAACGGTCAACTTGAGAGGGCATATTGCTTGATAATAGTTCTGGCAGTCCGCATTACTAACAATCCCTTCCCCCCACTAAAATTGTGTTATCTACAGGTAATGAACTGATTTTAGTCATTGTATAATTATTTTATTCTGTTTGTCATCATGACGCTGACTGGGACAAGATATGCCGTGAAAGATGTGACAAAATCACAAAAGTTTCAACTATCTTTTTAGTATTTTCCATGAGGCTAGCGGTCCTCAAACTCTTTCTAATAAACTGTGAAACAGTCTCAAAAACGTTACGAACGGACTCAGAACCAGATTTAATATTCATCCAAGACCGGTTACGTTTAGGTACCGGTTATGATTGCCAACAGTCTACGCTCGAAGTTGTCGACGAGTTTATTTTATTTACCTACACACCACATAAATAAAGCTAAGGCAATGACAATTTGTGAGACTAGGTAAGTCTATGGAGAGATATGTCGGTGAACTTTACCAGGACACCGTTTCGAATTAATTGATATCGTTTCTTAAGCTATTACTATTTTTATCAAAGAATAGAATACAGAAGTCATCTACATGGCTCCTCTGTTACCCTCACGCTTTTGACTCATTAACATTTGCGTATTAAAGACCAGGGTGAGCTGGCTCCTTAAACAAGGTATATATGTATCTTTTACACATGTTATGTCATAGCTGAACGCTCCGCTTACATCTTAGAGTGGGCATAAAACAATTCCGGGATGGTCAAAGAAATAAATATACTTATGCACATTAGACAACTGTACCTGCATTGCTTAATTTAAAGGGTGGGAAATGAAATTACAGGGCATACATATGTTACAGACTAACATGGAGACTTAGTCCTCAGGAGTAGCAAGGAATGAGGGGTATCCTGGGTGACACAGTATACTCTGTTAGTTCATGATACTGTTCATGTCTATAGCTGATAGTTACCACTTTCCATCAGGTGCGTCGTCAGCTTGTTTGCCATCCTAGTCATAAGTTAGGTACGTAAAATATACAATATTTTTTCTCAGAAATAGTTCCATGAGGGATATTATGGGCGCCACAGTGTGTTCTGTTATGTTCACGCTACCTTTTGTGTCTGTAATTGATCATATTAATACATATCAGATAAGCTGTTAGCTTGTTTCTCATTTTTAGTAAGAAGAAAAAATTACTTTCAAAGTACCATAAAGTTTATTATATAGAAAATATGTTACTTATGTTTAATGTACTCAGATAAGTTATATAAAACTGTACCACCAGATTTATAGGACGAGATAGGAAAAATCACCATTTGCGAATGAAATGTGGTCACGGGTAAATTAACATAATAACAATGACAATAAAAAATATTTGGCTATAAGCTATAGGCCTTATCTTGATAATATGTTAGGTACGTGTAATGGATCCACCTACTATCGTCAGTATTAACGTTGTTAAAAATACGGAAATAATAAAATGTATACCTAACAAGTATAATTTTTATTTGTTGGTTAACAAGGACGATATGTTATTAAACAAATTTGAATTCTTTTTAAAAACTGAACAATATGGTCTGATTTCTTCGTCCGCAAGTATTCAATAAATTAATAAATTTATTTTATGAATTATTCCTACTTAATATAACCTGGTGAATTCGTCAAGATGAGTCAAGTATTTTGACGTTATGCTTACCTATCACTATCACCCCTTAACTGTATAATGCTAGCGTATATCAATACTGCTTACAACGTTAATATTCCATTTCGTATCATTCTTCCTATGTTCACTGCTGATCTTAGTCGCTCTCAGTTAAACAGCCATGAGTCCTACGCCACCTCTGTATACTGTATACTAGCTTGCTATGAATTGACAAGAATAGCAACTGATGGTGTATCTTTGATCTTCTTTTTACTAATTATATTTGCATAAGAAGAAAGGAGGTAACCATATGATTTACAGTTTTTATTTTATCATTCCTTCTATTTAGTTACTTGTTCTTAGCGATGATGGTTTAATTAATTTTAAATGTTATCTCTGCGCTTCAATACTATCTGTACCAAATTCATTTTCCTAAAATGTCAAATTGACAATGATAATGACAGTACTCAAATTGACATCAACAGTCAGAGTGATTCCGGATTCAATTTTTAAATTAACGGTTAAAAAGTCGACAGTTCTTTTTGATTTTGTTGATTAAATGAAAATTTATTTTTAATAACAGAAAACTTCCCAAGTATGGATTAAAAGAACGATTTATCGAATAAACTTTATTGTCACCTTTATATGATGGAGCCTTCAAAAGAAGCAATCGCTGTCCGGATAGCGCGGTTAAATCGCCAGATATTAGGAAAAGTGACTGGTGGTGGTTTAAGTAAATTATCTAAACGAACAATAAACCGCGAAGCCCTGCTGGATGCCCTTACAGTTCTGTATGATGAGTGCAACGATGACCCTGTTAAAAAAAGCGATGATCTCGTTAGAGCATTTGTTGACAAATGTAAGTTCTGTTGTTTACCTTATAAATTTACTGTTTATTATCTTTTGTAGATTTTAATAAATATAGCTATTATCTTCTTAAATTTGTATTTTTATTATATAAACCCTTGGTTATTTTTTCAAAACTACATAAGTAATTTGTGTATTATACCTGGTGAATACTATATGGTAACATACCTGCTATCCTTAAGCTGGATTCATACAATATTTTCTATTTAATTCTGTTCTTAATGTCGGTCTGGTAAAATATTACATAAGAAACAATTCATACCACAACCCAGTCCACTTGAATCATCTAATTATGATCAATTTCGAAATGGTTTTACTTACAAAACTGAGAATTAATGAAGCCAGCATTATAGTGAATTCAGCCTTAATATCACCATTTATTCATTACTTCATGTATGTCTTTGATGGAGCGATTATTATATGATGATATTAATGTTGCTGATATCAATTTATTGTATGTATCATTAATCGTTCGAACCAAAATGTTTTTTAGTAGACCACATTATGAATCTCTATATTTAATATTAAGTATATACACTTTATTGTTCTGAAAATTTTGTTAGTAATTTATCAGGTAGCAATTTATGGTTTATTACGTTTGATCACTACTTAACAACTACACTAGCACTACTCATAAAGGGTATGAAATTAACATCTTTATATTGATATATAATAAATATTGTAGATTAAAAACTTTTTAATACTTTGTTTCAGACCGAAGCACTTTGGCAGAACTACGACGAACTCGTGTTTGTTTGTCAGATTTTGAGATGATACAAACAATTGGCCGAGGACATTTTGGTGAAGTACATGTAAATAATTACACAATTATTGACTCATACCACACATAGATAATTGATTAAAATTAATTGTCACATATTATGTAATGGATAGTTTTCAGTATCATTGTAGTTTATTAAAATAGAATACATAGAATTACATACTATAATGCACATGTCTGTACAAATATTTAGCAAACATGATATAGAGTTTTGTGGTCCATGAACAAAATATTTACACTGAGAATTTCCTAAAAAAAGTTAAATTTCAGTAACATAAAAAATAAATTATTAAGTAATTAATTATATAAAAAAATAACAGCCTAACTGCTATTTTTCGTATTATATTATTAAATTTATATGCAATAAATATCTGTCTGCCATATGATATAATGTTTACAAAATGTTGACTTTCAGGTACTTACAGTAGAATTTTTCAATTCTCTTTATTGAAATAAATTTGTTAAACTGAAACTAATAAATACAAACATCAACAAGAGGTTGTTAATATTTTACTTTAAGGCTTCTTAACGCTCATGTTTCTTTTCAAATAATAAAAGAATGTGATTTTAAAATAATAATAATGAAATTTATATTAGATGGTAAGGGAGAAGGAGACAGGAGATGTGTATGCACTAAAGACATTACGCAAAGAAGAGGCTCGCAAGCGTGCTGTTAGTGCAGCAGAAGATGAGCGTGATGTGCTTGCTATGGCTAATAGCCCTTGGATACCAAAACTACAGTATGCATTTCAGGTGAACTTGACAACTTCAATATTTATATAATATAAAACATAAGTATTAAATTTGATTTTTACAGTTCAAACTAATCTTATTTATATTGTCACTTGTACTGGATAATAACAATTTGTTCTTGATGTCAAACTTATCGTTGGATAGTTTCTGTTTTATATTTTTCTCAAAATTTTAGTACATTGTATTCAAAACTTTTCTAAATTCTGTGTTTTTATTATATCAGTAAATTATTTTTATAATTTGGTATAGGTAAATATTTGTATTAACTACAAGTACTGAATTAAAATATCCAATTAAGTACTCCTGATTTACCAATTTGAGGACTGAATTAATTTTTTTCAAATAATGTTATAGTTGTTTCTTGTTTACAGGACACCAGTCATTTGTACCTAGTGATGGAATTATGCTTGGGTGGTGATTTGGCTGGTCTTCTTTCCCGCCGAAACCATCCATTATCAGAGAGCGATGCCGCCTTCTACGTCGCGGAAATAGCACATGCTTTGAAGGCTCTCCATGGAATGGGATATGTGCATCGAGATGTTAAACCACATAACATATTTCTAGACAGGTAGGACACAATCACTGTTTAATTATCAAATACTTTTTACTTTGATTAATAATGTTATGTAAGTAATAAAATAGTTGTTTTAAAAATTATTATTATATTGTTTTATATATATATATTTTTTTAATATATTTTAATATCCTTATATCCCTACACAATAATATCGTAATAATAATTTATAACTTTGATTATTTAAGAATAAGTTAAAAATAATTTGTAATCAAACCAACTAAAAGCTCATGGTGCAACAGCAAATTCAACAGATCATACTGTGGGTTTGTGTAATTGCACAGTTTACTGGAATGTAGGTAATTTGTTTTTCTCAGTCTCCATTCACCCACAATTTAACATTTAGGTTTTGTCTGTTGTGTTCATTGCAAGTTTATACACTTATTGCCCATAGTAGGTCTTACCCATTACTATTTCTGTAAACTTAGGTGTTATACCTCCATACATTGTAATTTCACTGACTGAACTGAAACTGAAACAGTACACCTGCTTAATAGCAGTAACCCGAGTGGGACAGAGGTAACCATGCAGATGACTTTGTATGTGAGACAATGAGTGATGTGTGTGCAGATGCGGTCACGTGAAGCTGGGCGACCTGGGGTCATGCGGGCGGCTGTCGGAGGGCGGGTGCGGCGCGGCGGCCGTGGTGACGGCGGACTACGTGGCGCCCGAGCTGCTGGCCGCGGCCGACTGCGCGGCGCGTCACACTGTCTGTCTCCAATACTGTCGCGGGATTGTTTCCTCTGCCATTGTGGGTTCGCACGATATGCTTGCGCTTGTCTCTATTTAGCACCACTTGGTTTATCAGTATAGCATATTGACTCTGAATACATCTACATACATATCCCAATAAATAGATGTACTTTCTACAGTTTTTGTTTAGATATCAGTAGTAGAATTGTGATATATCCAATGATATATGGAATGATTATCTTCAATATGAAACATAATCGTATCTTATAACTTTTAAAAATGAACAACAAATTGTTGCATTTATAAGAATTTGTCGTCATACCTATTGCAATGAACTGTGCGCACTATTTTTGTCATTGGCTAAATTAAATTAATAACTTATTTGTAAAAGCTCTTATGGCAATGACAATAATATTTACCATGTTTACCTTTGAAGAGATACATTTTATTATAGTTTACAGAAAACTACCTGATCAAAGCTCTCAACCAGGTACCAATTTTAAATTCATATGAATATTTTTCGGATAATGTGTCTTTTATAATTATAATAATTATTTTATAAGAAAACTTCAAATAATCTAATAGTTAACGCTGTTTATATTTTGAGCGAGTAATACAAGAAATATATATACTATTGTATAATTTGATTTATTTAGTAGATTTAATGCACATTTTATATTTTTAAATTGGCTTTATTAATATTTTTTCTAAAACAGTTTTGTTAGTAGTATTCCTGTTATGTAATAGTTGAGTAGTTAGAAATTACAATTTATATTTGTAAATTTGATCATTGCAAAAAAAAAAATAAGCATGAACTGTAGTGCTCTGCGTTCGATTTTTACTAATATTTATCTGTATTTAAAATACATTGAAAAAAGCTTAAAAACAAATGTATTAACAATCACTAATTGTCCACTAGGTGTAACAATGTATTTTTGTTATTTCACTAATGAGGTTGAGGTTTTGTTTAATTGAAATTATTCAGTTTAATAATTTTAAAGTTATAAATGCATATAAACTTATCTTTGACCTAATGTCTAATAATTGTACTTATGCTGTATCAGTACACATAATATATTTTTTTAATATTTCAAAGGAAAATCAAGCTGTGATTTATAGTTTAAAATTTCTCTGAAATTGAATTAAGAATACCTTTACATTTTTGTCAAAGCTAATATTTGAAATAGAAATAATAAAGGAAATTCTTATGGATTATAACAATTTAAATGTACAACGGAAATTTTGTCTGTATTCAGTCGGCGTGTGACTACTGGTCGCTGGGCGTGGTCGCGTTCGAACTGGTGACATTGAAGAGGCCATTCTCATCTGGTGACGATGATTCCGTTGCACAAGTTCTTAGCAATATACAGAAGTGAGTTTCTTGTAATTATATTAGCAATGCCCTATTGTATAATGTATAGTGCATTTTTATGTATTCTTTATTTAAATGATATTCTTTATTGAAATTTTAATTAATGTTTTAAAAATTAAGTTTTTTTTTTTTTTTTTGTACGGGATAAATTCATAAAATACTAACTCATTTTGAAATTTCTTTCGCTTGTAGAAAACTACATTCTCAGCTGCCTATAACTGGATTGTATTTATTAAATAAAAATTTTATATCTCTACTAGTGCGGACCCGGGGCAAATTGCTAGTGTTATTTTCTAATGGGTGAAAATGAAATGTTAATCCCGCCTGTGCTATCGGTATATCCAGATGGGGTACGAATGAAGGATGGATATGTGAGGATGGGAGCCAGTCAGTTGCTCCATCGTCATGTATTCAACATTAATAAACTACGATGGTTTCTAAAGGAGATAGCATGGAGGTCGATTGGATGGGGTATATTTTTAGTAATAGTGTCCTGATTATTAAGTCTTTTCTCCCCCCGGGTCACTAGTTTTAATGGTGCAAATAAATAGTACATTAGTGCAGTGGCCAGCAACTGAGGCAGTACTTTTCTCAAACAATGCGCGGAAATCAAAAACACAATTTTACTTTTTAAATTCTATAGTACTATTGTATAGTACTATTGATGGACTCACGTATGTGTGCCTCGGCTACGTCTTGGTCCATATTTGCACGTTCGTCCATCAATGCCTCAGTTGCTGGCCGCTGCAGTAATGTACTATTATTAATTAGAAACGAATGAACAAGTGGTGGTGTGGTGCAGGTACGAGCGGTCGGCGGAGCAGGAGCCGCCGTTCGCGGCGCCGCCGGCGGGCCCGTCGCGCGCGTGGCGCTCGCTGGTGCGCGGGCTGCTGCGCGTGCCGCCGCCGCGCCGCTACAACTACCTCGACACGCTGCGCCACCCCGCGCTCGCCGCCCTCTCCGACCTGCACTCCATACGCGACCAGGTACCATTTATTACATGTACGCTCTGCTAAGACTATCTATAAAAACTGGCGTTTATTGTACAAATATATTAATGTGGATGTATGAAAGTCTATGTATACTACATAGAAAAAATAGATTATAAAAATGAAAATATATTCTGATTGACCTTTCACTTATTACTTTTCTACTAATATATACACTATTAAATATATATATATGTTTAAATTAGAATTATAAACAATTACAAATTAAAAGTAATTGTATTAGGTTACTCCTAAGTGGCGCAACTTATTAAATAATTGAAAACGAAATCATTTGCATTTTTATTCACATTTAAGACAGCAATGATATTTGAACTCTTAGTTTATATTAAATTTTTTTATCGCTTTACTTTGTAACAGGTGTTGTACCTCTAACGCCAATTTAAATCGGCCATTTTTACATTTTTTGACTGTAAATAATAATGTAAAATTGTTATTTTTTTTCGATATTCTGTTTCTATTTTATTACTGTATAAATGTAGTATGGAATTAAATAAACTAGAAAAACAAACAATCGAATAAATCCGATTGCTGCAGTTAAAAGATGACCTCTCCTTTCCCACCGAAGTATAGTGTCTACGAGAAGTTTTGGTATATTGTGATGTGTGTGCGCAGGCGCCGCCGTGGGTGCCGCGCGTGCGCGGCGCGGAGGACGCGGCGCACTTCAGCGCGCCGCCGCGCCGCGCGCCGCCGCCCGACGCCGCGCCCTTCCGCGCGCGCCCGCCCTTCGCCGGACAGCTGCCCTTCGTCGGTAACCGCACACCTTGCAACTCGTCTCACGCTCACACTATATAAACTTGTCACTAAAGTCTTAAAATATTTAATGATTCAAAAAACATATAGTACATTACTGCAGCGGCCAGCAACTGAGGCATTGATAGACGAGTGAGTCCATCAATGCCTAGTTGTGGCCAAGGCTTGTATAGTACTTTTCCCGAACAATACGCGGCAATCAAAAACTCATTTTTACTTTTTAAGTTCAATGATGAATAACAATACTAACTTTTCAGGCGCCATAATGTTCCTTTGTTTTTTTTTTACAATAAACCGATTTCTATTTGCAGGCCAGTTCGAAATTTAAATAAAACCTTTTATTAGTTACCTCCTTGGTAACCATGTTTCAAAGTTAAAGGTCATTCCATTTTTAAATTACAGGACAGATATGAGTTTACATAGTAATTTATCTCACCGCAAAATACGACAGATATGGATTTTCATACAACTTTTGCCGGCCGCTGCCCGCATGTATCTGGCCAGTACGGCAATTTTATCTCTAAGAAGATTGTCAAAATAATGCTCACATTTCCAAGCGTGTTTGAGAAATAATTATTTATTATTAATATTAGGTTCAGTGCAAAATGTCTATTATACTCATATATATACGCACAACGGCCCAAATGAGAAGCTAAGCGCAAAAAAGAGTCTTTTTCACATTCACGCATATATATATATATATATATATATATAATATATATATATATATATATATATTAATTTAATTTGAGTAGGCAGCTCACTCATTTTCACTCTCTCATTCGTTAGCTAGTTGAATAAAACAAGAAACATACATATAAAACAAAACTTTATATAGTACTCTACTATTTAAGCATATTTCATGTCGATACATTTCCAGGATACACTTATGTAGCGCAAGAAGACAACGAAGATACTACCGGAGGTTTCAATGCTTCACATGACTGCACTGCAATCAACTTAGCCACATACAAGTTTGTATAAATATTAAAATCTCTAATTCTCTGACTACTAGAATCGTACAGATGTATTATACGAAGGAGTAATGTTTTGCGTTCATTTGCAGCAAAAAGTGTAAAATAAAAGCGAAAACTAATTCCTATAAATTTTTTTAAGGTATTAAATGATACGATTTGTTAAAATATTTTAAACAATCTAACGCTAAAATGTTGCCAGAATTAAGTTGTTAAATTACTAAGAAACATTATTAATTAAATTTAAACGTATTGTATTCCAATTTTTATGTCGTCTACTGTAGTAATAAGAACAATATTTCTGTACTTTTTTAATTATCACGAATTCTAATTAAAAGTATTTAAATCAATTTATAGCTGTATTACACATATTATTTAATCGTAGATCAGCCGAAAAGTTGGCAGCCATGCGGGGTCGTGAAATCTCGTCGCTCCAGAATAAATTGGCGACGGCCGAAGCGGCTGCAGAGGCGGCAGCAAGCGCGGCGGCCGAGCGCACTCGGCGGGAGGCCGACGCCGAAGCCGAACGCACACGGGCGCGGCTGCAGGCCGAAATCACTGCGCTCAGCTTGCAAAACAAGTACATACTCACTTTATTGTTAACAGACTGTAATCCTTGGCTTTGCCTGTCCAAATTAAGTAACAGAGCATGCTCTTCATTAAGAAGCCTAATTGTGGATAATTTTCATTCAACCATTTAAGTAACAAGTATTCAAACTTACGTACCTTAATCCTTATTTTATCTGTATATTAGGTACATGCAAATATACAAATAATGTATCAGTAACTAAAATATAGCCAACTGATTTAATAATAACAATTCAAGTTTGTAACTGGTTTTACTTGAAGGTGAACTACTTTTTTGGCTATAATAGTAGAATATGACATTATTATTGAAATAACTAAAACTTTATTTGTTGCAGTTATCTTATTTAATAAATTACACATTACGATTACACAAAGTAAAATCGATAAACAGAGTTAACCAAATCACCAATTATTTGGATTAACCAATTAATTATTACATTTGCCTTGCTCATGATACTCTATATTTATCAGTGGACCGCCTGCTATTATTTGGAATCACGATACTGATTCTCCTTGTGTACAATACAGACGCCTCGAACGTCAAGTTGAAGTGGAGAAAGAAGAGCGGATGGCTCTCCAGCGCACCAACCAGGAGCTGACATGCGGCATCGCGGAGCGTAGTAGCGCGGAGACTCGTGCGGCCACTGCAGCGGCGGCCGCGCTGCAAGCGGAGCGTGACGCTTTACACGAGCAGCTGCAGCGCACTGAGCAGCGCGTGGTCGATCTACAAGCTGAGTGCAAGCGCGCGCTTGCAGACGCTGACAGAGCGCGCGATCAGCACCACCACTATAAGGTGACGAGATTACGTTGCTTGTTCTTTTTTTTAAATTGTATATGTATTTCTTGTCCCATTTTAAATGAAAACAAAATTCAGATTTTTTTTAGAATAGAAATTTATTGGATTATTATTAATTTAACATTTAATCCAATGGTACATCTATTTAGTTATTGAAATATGAGTACTTACAAATCTAGAAAACAAATTTATTATACATATATAAAACAGATTTATTATATGAATTGTACATTTAGGATATATTGGCACACGTGCAAGATTTGCGACATAGAAAACTGACCGAAATCAACGTGCGCCCGATAGTAAGTTCATGGTTCAGACTAGATGTTCTGGCTACAATATAAAGTAGTTTAGTATTTAGAACATAAAGTTATGGTTAACTAATTAACAACATGCTAAACAGAGGAAAGAAATAAACGAATAATACACAAAAACAGAACGAAGAGGTAATTAGGCAGAAATATTGGTAATAATTATTTTTGTTTTAACTTACAATTATTTTATTCTTACTTACATTTACTAACGACAAAGTAGAAGAGCATTGGCAGTTGTAAATATTTTATATAATTACTATGTACTCATTAAGAAAATAATTAATACATTTTTATTTAAAATAGTTAATATAAAACTAAAATTTTTAAATACATAACTACCTATTGACTACTAATGTTGTTCCTAGTTAGCTAACCATGACTATATGTAAGTGTATTTATGTTAGCCATCATGTATCTTCATCTATAACATATTTCATGTAGAACTCATTATTCACAAAACTATGACTTCGTGATAATAAGGGGAGTTTAACTCCCCCTATTGTTTATGCGATGATGTTACTGAAATAACTTGCCTACTAAATACTATTTTAAAACCCCAGGACACAATAGCAAAAGAGCGTGCGTTGCGGCGTCAAACTGTTAGCGGCGGCGAAGCTGAAATGCGGGAAGCGGCCGCGCGGCTTGCCACCGCTGAAGCAAACTTAGCGCGTGAAGCACGAACGAGGGAACAGCTGGAGAAACAAAATGCTGACCTCCAAGCTAAGAATTCCTCGCTGCAAACCGAAAATGCAGCGCTTCAAGCTGAGATCGAAACTTTACTAACCGAAGTAGATCGCGTTAGGAAGGAGTTGGTTATATCTAAGGTGATTATTGTAGAAAAGTATACTATTTTATTTTACATCATTGAGTCGTCATCTTCATCATTTATCATCATCATTCATTACAAATCATCATCATATTTATATTATCAAATAAATAAAGGCTTACCATTTTGTCTATAGTCAAAGAAATATACAGTACATACAAGACAGTTATTGCTATAATACTTATTTATTATATATCCCTAAATTCCCTTTTTTAATTTGTTTTTAAAAATAAAATTTTTAATCAATTATTTCATTTGTTATTGGCTATATAATTCTAACATAGCTGTTACATTTAAATTTAAATATTCACTACTCCTCTATTTTGTTTTAATTAGGATACAATTAATGAGAAGCATCGTGCAGCTGATGCGTCTTCAGTGCAACTAGTAGATGCACAGCAACAGCTGGCGCAGGAACGCATTCGAGTCACATCGCTAATTGCACAAGTTCAGGTATGTTGTATGCACTCTAAAATAATATAATATCATCATAAAGATAAATGTGAAATGAGAAATATTATTTAGGTGCTAAATTCTATGTAGAAAATCTTAAAATTCACAACTTACAAAAACATACAACATTTTGTAATTAATTTATATAACAATTTCCTGTTGAAGCAACAACTGGCAAAACCAATTAATGGCTCGAAGGACCAAAAATTGTTATAATCTAAAATATAACCATTTTAATATAATCAACTCATGGAGAAAAAAAGAACTCTTAGTTATCGTCGTTACTTCTATTGTTCCTCAGGTACACAATTTCTCGAGATCTATATTAGTGATAATTTCTTTGTTTTTTGTATATATTGTAGTATCTTATAATTCTGTCATTAATATTAAGTACATGTGTGTGTGTATGAATAGGAATTGGAGCGCGGCACCGAGGAAGCGGCCAAGCGTGAAGCGGCGCTGGAGGAGCAGTGCTCGCGCACCGAAGCGCGCTTAAACGAGCGACTCGAGGCCGCGGAAGCTCGAGCCACTGCCGCCTTACAGGAAGACGCCAGGCATCGAGAGAAAGTATGTCTGAAGCCAAGTACCAGCATACATATTTCGTTTATTATTATTCGTTAGTTTTTATAATAAAATGGCCTGCTTGTTATTTTTTTTTTTTATTGTTACTCTGTATTGATAAATTATTCTATATCATCAACTTAGCCGAAACAGTCACAATAGGAAAAGGATTCTCAGATTCTAATTTCTATATAGTGAATGTTACATAAATAAAATGTTTCAATACTTTTCTACAATATATTTTGTTAGATTTAAATGAAATTTGTATCTCTCCTTAAACTAGTACAGTACAGTTACAGCACGATGATGATATGGTATAGAAACGATTTAAAAAGTAATCGTTATGTAGGTGGGTACACTAGAGCAACTAGTGCGGCGGCTCGAACGCGAGGTGAGCGCGTTGGAATCTCGCGGATGCGCTCGCTGTGCGGCTGTTGCTGCTGGTGCTGCTGGTGCTGCTGGTGCTGCTAGTGCTGCTGGCGCGGCGGACGCGGCCAGCGACACGGAGAGCGTGGGCGAGGCGGCCGGCGCACAGCTCACGCTGCTCAGGGAGCAGCTCGAGCGAGCTGAAGCCCAACTACAGGTGTGTAATAATACTAAAGAATTCTCGCTACAAAATATTGCCCTTTTGTAAGAGCCAGTCGAACAAATTAAAATTCCTAGCGAGACCCTAGTAAATGATGATAGGTGATGAAAACAGATCAGTTAACATATCGTTATAACTTCGACATTTCAAATTAACCACTATGGTTTTTAAGGGAAACCACGTGGTAGTCGACTTGGCAAGGATTATTTTTAGCAACAGGGCTATGAGACTCCATTACTAAGAATCCCTTTCTTCTTTATGGTAATCTATTTTGATTATACATACATTTATTTGATTTTTTCTTATATGATTTCATTTCAGGTTATATGTAATTTTTAGATTTTAGATAATTTGCAATTATCTTTTTATAGGAGTAGGATTATAGTTTAGATAAAATATAAAATTCATTGTTAATATTATAATAGGCCCGAGCTGAAGAAATCGCGACACTGCGGCAAGAGGCTCGTTCCGCAAATTTGGCGAGATGGCGCAAGGTTAGTACAACCTATAATTAAATTAAAATATATATTCCATAAAATATTTGATCGGACTAATTAGGCAAATTAACTTCAAACCAGGAACGAGAGTACAACGAATTATCTGTTGAGACGAAATCAACGGCGAGAGAGTTGAAGCGTGTAGAAGAACGTCTCTCGTGTGTTATCGAAGCGCGGAAAGAAGCCGAGAAGAAGTGTACAGCTTTACAAAGCGATGTGGCAACATTACGACCGCAACACGAGCAAGCCAAGAAGGATGCGGAGCGGGCCAAGGAACAACTAGAAAAGTTGCAAAAAGCGCATGAGGTTGCACAAGCTGAAGTTGACAGGTATGTTTTTTATAATTAAAGACTAGTGATACGGTCCGGCTTCGCACGGAAAAATAAAATTTTCGAAAACAATAACTATGTTATTCGCTTTTTTTATGCAATTTAGAATGGCAAACAAGTTGATAGTCCACCTGATGGAAAGTGGTAACCGTGGCCTATAAACATGAGCAGTACCGTGGACATAGCAAAGTACACTATAGTGATATATGATGTAATATGTCGCTCGTAGTGTAGTTTTCTGTAGGTGAAAGAATTTTTATATTTATTATATTTTTTTAAATTTTCCGTTACAATCAAAATGTTCACTTTATAATATTAGCATTTTTATAATGTATATAATTTTTTTTTTTTTATAATAGCAGTAAAATATCGTCATAATTATTTGTTCGCAGATCTCGAAATGACATCCGCAAACTGAAGAGTGAGTTGATGTACAGCGAGAAACGTCGTCTACACGCCGAGGAACAAGAGGAGCTGTCGAGCCGCGAACGTGCGCAGATGCGCGACGAGATGCAACAGCTGCGCGGGCGCAACGACGACTTACTGCAGGTTAGATATTGGGAAATACGTACTTAGTTTATTTATTCAATAATTTAGATTTTAGCAAAAATTATACACAATTCATTGATACAATTATATCTTTGTTGCTGTGAACTCACCTGGCGAGTTTAATAGTTCGCTACAGCAGTGCTCATTGATTCGCGTGCCCAGTTCGCGTACATTAGTGAAACTGTACCGTAATTTACATGAGATTCTTCGCTGTCGCATTTCTCAAACAATTGTGAGTTCATATTCTTTTTGAAATCAGTTTAGTATCTAAAGTCTTCATATAAAGTGTTAACAATCAAACTGAATTTCTTTCTTCAGCTTGTAAATATAATCAAATGACTGCATATAACAACCGTTGTTTAATGTTTACTGTATACGAAGAAGAAAACATCTAGCTCATTGCTTGAATCGCTCAGTTGATTGTTTTATCATCTGCCACACGAATGTAAACAACATTGCTGGTATAATTTGTAATTCTGTCAATGATAGCCTTTCAATGGCACAGTGCGTCGCAGCTCAATAGATAACTATAATAATAAATTAACTATATAAATTAAGTTAGGAAATTAGTCAATATTATTGAACTTAAAAAATAAAATATTAACAGTAGTTTAAAACGAGTAATATTAAGAAGATGCCCCTAAAAATGGACCCGTCATTTATATATTATAAACGCAAAATACGTAGCGAAAAACCACCTATTCGACCTAAACCAGCGTACTTGCGGACTTTCATGATGTTCGATGTGAGAGGAATATGGGGGCTGCGGAGGGGGAGGGAGGGACTATGGGCGCGGCGCCTGCGGTATGCTCTAGCCATCGACCTCGTGCGCGGCCGCTGCGGTGCCGCAGATGCTACTCTCCAAGCTTTCAACCATTATTCTATTACGGTATAGGGTCTTTCTGCACTGTTAATACTTGTAAATAATAAAAATAAACATGTAACGTAACTTGTGAGCAATATCTGAAAATACGATTATGAGTGAATTGAATTAAAAAATATTAAAAATTATCAAAGCTGTCGAAACCAAACCCAACAAAAAATCTACTATGATTATAGTACATAGTAGATATTAACTGAAATTATAAACACATTATATATGTAAATGAGATATTTAATGTATTTATATTTTTGTGAAGCTCCTGATAAGATAATAGTCACCTTCAATGTCTCGTTCATAAAATGTGTAAAATTGTAAACAGCGCTAATATAAATTCTTAATTATTGTTTCCAGAATAATAAAGCATTGCAAGAAGCGTGTTCGTTGTTGGAAGAGCAGCTTACGGATTTGGAGAAGCTGGCTGATCATCACGAGCAAAAGAATAAAGATCTAGAGGTAATTTTTTCTTTATTGTAATTGTTATTTATAAATGTAATAAATATTTTCTTGAACGTATTATACACAATAATTCATTACTTATAATCAGCGTTGTGGATCGCACACCTTTATTGAAAAATCGCTTCATAAATTACCTATATCTGTTGGATTTTTGTTGTATTTGTAAACTGTGGTTTATAAGTTTCAAATTTATTTATTTATTTTTCTCTAATTAAAATTATAAATATAGTAAATTCCAATGTGAAGTGATATAAAAGGCGGCCTTATCGCTAAACAATCACTTCCAGACAACTTTTAGTTAGATTTTATGGCTGAAATTGTAATGCAAGACGAGTATAAATAATTCGAACTTTTTTATATTAGAACCTTCTCTGTGATTTTGATGTGTACAGTATAGGAATGCTGAAATAATTGATGAATATTGTTTGTAGTTCAAGAAGAGTCTGGTTACATGTGATACAATATATATTGCACATATTTACTTGTTGAATGAGTTATCAGAGTTGTAATACAATGTTAATGTGGTTTTTAGTGGATAAGATAAAATGGCGTACCCTAACAACGATTTATATATATAATGGTGGGATACTAGTGAAGGATAAAATGGTGAGTTAGGTGGCTCGTCATAGCTAATTTCCAGGGGACTACGTTAAGGTCAACTTGATAGAACATATTGCTAGCAATGGGAACTAACTTTCTCGTTACTATAAATACTCTCCTACAAACAAAGGTGGTTGTAGTGATGACAACGAGGGTTGCGTGTATGGTGCAGGAGGAGAACGGTCGCATGCGCGCGGAGCTGGAGGCGGCGCGGACGCGGCTGGCGGCGGCCGAGCGCGCGGCGGTCGAGCGGGCGGCCGCCGCCGACCGCGCCGCGCGACTGCACGACGACGCACGCGACCAGGCCGCGCAAACACTCTGCCAGCTGCAGATGCTCACCGTATGTGCCGGTTTTAATGAGTTTTTTTTATATATAACTAGCTTTTACTCGAGACTTTGTCTTCGTGACCAGTTTCGTCTCATAGCAAATTACATAGCGATTGATCAAGCTGTTCAATCGCTAAGAGGTATCAAACAAATAAATCTATATTTGCATTAATAATATTAGTAAGGATTTTTTAATCTATTCATATAAAATTATGAGTACCGATGAATCACTCCTGTGCCACTTTCAATGCTGTTCATGAAACATGTTAATTAGTGTACTCCCAATAAATTAATATTTTTTTTAATACTTCTCTATGAGAATTATACAACGCCGTAATTGAGTTTTATTTAGAAAGGCCTTGATGATCGTATAATTGATTAGTATTAGATTTTAGGTATATATCAATTTTTAGAGATTTAGATTAGATAATAGATTGTGTATTTAGGAACGGATCGAGTCTCGCGAAGCACGCGTAGCGGAGCTGGAGGCCCGCGTGGCTGAACTAGAAGGCGATCAGTCGGCGCGCGAGGCGGCGCTGGCGGCGGCCGCGCGTCGCGTCCGCGACCTGCAGGAGGAGAGCGCCGCGCTGCGCAGCCGCGCGCACCAGCACCACGCGCGCGCGCTGCAGCTGCACGCCAGCCTCGCCGACCTGCAGGTGACACGGCACGCGACGCCGGGCCATGCGTCACACACACGGGGCATGCGTCACACGCACGGGGCATGCGTCACACACACGGGGCATGCCTCACACATACGTGGCATGCGTCACACACACGGGACATGCGTCACACACGGGACATGCGACATGTGCGCGATCTGCACGAGAAGTTCTGTGCTGCGTTACCATACGCATCAGTATCACACTCATATATTAACATACCCACAAATCACTATTATTCTATTCATTATTATCTTTAGAATATACTAGGTATTTTTCGCGGCTTTGCCCACATGAATTAATAGGTAAAATCCTGTGTTAAATAAGGATATAATCTCCCTGTGTACAAAATTTCATTCAAATCTGTTCAACAAACGTTTAAGCGTGATTGGGTAACAAACATCCAAAAGTATTTACATACTTTCACGTTTATAATATTGTAGTATTTCTGTATATACTTGACAAAGACGAAGCCTACTTTTGCCGCCTAAACTGTACAGTGCCAACCATCACATATCACCATTGATGTATACGGATCAGGTAGGTATTTATTGTACCTGTATTTATGGATATTTATTCACTTATATATAATGTTTCAGGAGGAATTATCAGCGTCCCGCGAGGCGGCTGAGGCAGCGGCCACCTGGTGGCGGACAAGAGAAACAAAGGCCGACGCCACGCTGCGGCAGCAAGCGAAACTCATTGACTTCTTACAGGTAATGTGTATAGGTTATTTTCTACATATGTAGTCTATATAATATGTTTATTTGATTCTCCAGTTACATACAATCGATCAACACTGTTGAAAATAAGCTTTTAGATGTATAAAGAACTGTCTGTCTAATGCTTAAAAACAATAAATAACAAAGTATTCATTATTAGGCAAAAGTGGAAGAGGCTGGTCGTAAGAAATGTTCACTCAGCAACAAAATATTTGGACGCTCTGGTAGAAGATTGCCCGCTTCACCGCCGCTGCGACGAGCTAATAGGTATTATTTACTACTTCCTGACTTTATTTTAGACTTGGATCTGTTTATTCTAATACTCTGATATCCATTTTATAATTTATCATTACACATGATAGTTTAAAGACCAGATTGTTGGTGTAAATTTGTCGCCTTTGTTTATTTATAAGAGACTACATCATGGAGTTCTTCAAGAAAAAGAAAGAGATTTCATCAGGGTTGGCAACCTGGCAAAGAAAAGCAACGCGTGGGTAACGCCCCTAGTATTGTATACACTTATCATCAATCGTGGATCGTTTACTTGTTTGATACCTTAGAGGTATAAAAAATTACCCTATAACAAATTACTCCAATTACAAACTAAATGAAATGCTTCTGATGACTTGGATATTTATATGTAAATGTAATTTAGGGTGTAAATAATGAAATATTTTTTGTTAACAGAGAATTACGTGATGAAGTCGAACGACTACGAGCTAAATTAAATGCAGTTGGCGATGCTGAGTAAGTTCACGATCGTTATTCACAATATACAGCGTATTTATTTTGTTTTATATTACTAATTATATATAAAAAAAGGCCATTCCAAAATCAACTACGTACAATTTAAGTAAAAAGGGTACTCAGTATAAAAATTGATGGCAAATAATTGTATAATTATTGTGACGGTAAATTTTGAAATTGTTTATTGGGTGAAAATGGAATGGTAACTCAAACTGCGCTATCGGTATACAATTAAGCACAATTAAGGGATGATATGTGATGATGAAGCAGGCAGTGAATCATCAAAAACTAACCACGATGGTTTCCAGGGCGAAAGGCATGGAGGGCGACCTGTTAGGAGGGTATATTGCTAGTAATGATTCTGTTACATCTCATTATTAATAATTCCTGTCCCCCCAAACTTGAGATTTGCATACAGAATGTAATTACTGATTTAAGATATTCAAATGTTTGTAATTGTATAAATGTACCTATCATCTGCACTTGGTGGTACATTACATTACACTCGAATTAAGTTTACGTTATCTATGTGACATGCAACAAATAAATAAATACTATTTATTCTACAGCTACCCACCTACTCCGAGACGAGAAAAGTCAAAACCAATTATTAATGGGTAAGTTTAATAGCAATTATTTATATTTTATATTTCATTATCGTAGGTCATGATGAAATGTAGGATGGAGTGCGCTTAATATATTGCATGTTTTCATCGACTTAAAGAGCTCCAGAATAATTTTGCAGAAATATAGAAGCAAGAAAAGCATTTTGTTCCTTTAGCAGTTCATATTTAAAATGATGAACCGAACCGCATCGTGCAGATCTTTTGAATTTATGATAACTTTTTCTTCAACTTTTATTTATATATGTATATCTAATTTTTCAACCAACTTCAAAAAGAAGGAGGTTCCTAATTCGGTTGTATTTTTTTATGTTGTATTATGCCATAACTCAGTTCTAAACCAAAAGTTATTTTGTTATCTGAAAAGATATACTTATAGATTGGTCCCATAGAAATTTTATTAAAATCTTTTCAGTAGTTTAATTAACAGATTAAATTAACTAGTTTTGTTACAAATAAAGTTTGCTTTTTTGTGGGACACGATAATTATAGGATTTGTATCATCATTAATGGTCACTTGTTGGCATTTGTATATTATTATTTTATTATTAGTGACATTGATAATTATCGATAATGCTTTATATCCTACACAGTGATTAAATGACCTCTTATTTTCTTGCCCCCAATAAGTAATGTACTATTTTGTATTTCAGGAGTAAAAATGCAGATGGCGCTAATGGAGATGACGACAATTCACAATTGACAATAGTGTGGTATGTAATTTACATGTTCATAATACAGTCAACTCGAATGCTTCACGAACTAAAATCAGATCTCCAACAAGGTCAACTTCTGACTATATGGTGGAATGAAAACTTTTTAAAACTACTATTATTTATTATTAATGTAATTTTTATTCCAACCTAATTACGTAGCGTTTGGGGCCGAAATTGTGAACATAGTAATTTATTATATTATTTTTTAATGACTGGAAATAGTAAATATGCTGACGGTTCACCTTAAAAGAAAGTGGTAACCGTCGCCTATGAATTTGTACAGTATATCATTGATATCTCAAAATACACTGTGATATCAATAGTGCTTCTCATGTGTTGCCATTCCCGAAGATAATGGTGTTATTCCTTCCTTTATTCCTAAATTTACTTCTGCATCCCTTAAAGCCAAATTGCCATTTAGTTTTTTACATATGATTTCCCTTGTGGCAGGGCCGACGGCGCCCGCGAGCGTATGCAGGCGCGGTGCGAGGAAGGTGCACTAGTAGTGACTAGTGGCGGCCGAGAACTGCGCGCCACACTTCAACAATTGGAGGCGCCGGCCTTACCGTCACACGAAGCTGATAGAGCTTTCACTGTTAGTATTAAAGAGGTTTATTGTATTTTATCATATATTAGCAATCCGCCTCGGCTTCGCACGGGTAGGTAGATAGTAGAAAGACACATTTTTAATACTTAGGGTTGCATTGTTGTAATTTATGCAAGGATCGGTATTTTTTTTTTTTAAATAATATATATGTGTAATCTATGTTACTGATAATTTTCTTTCTATAGCTAAAAGAAGTTTTAAAATCAGTTGAATTGTTTTTGAGTTTATTCATTACCAATAAACAAACATATAAAAATATTTTTTTTATTTGTAATACTCATATTAGTATCTCTATATTTAATTAGTTAATTGATTAGTAGTGAGATTACTATTTATACTCTAACCCATTAAAGTTTCTCTACTAAGTACGGATCTCTTCGCATAAATAGTGACAGTTCAATGGAACAATGCTTTACTGCAGTACATAGGTCCCTAGATTGAATAGCAATAATTTAAATATTTACTTTACTTAAATAGTAATTTAAAAGTGATTATCATTTGCTTCATGCTATGCCAGCAGGGCCGTGCCTGGGTATATGGCCGCCTGCGTGCCAGTCTGTATGGCCGCCCCCAGGATAACATTAAAAAAAACTACTTTAATTTTTAATGTTTATTATTATACACAGGGCATCAAACCGGGAAAAAAATCAGTTTTTGGTTAACCGAAATCGGCCCAGTAAACAACTTGTAACGATTTGGCCGCCTCTTAATTTCGGCCGCCTGCGTGCGGTGCACGCAATGAACGCCCGTCAGGCACGGCCCTGTATGCCAGAACACGTAAACCGTTGTTCCATTTATCCGGTAAGTTACGTCGAAGTTTTTCTGTACAATGGAACCTGACTGGATATATACTACGAATCTTAATAAAACTGTGAAGCTTTACTCTCTGTTATATGTTTATGGACGGTATAGTTTTAATTAGCTTCTGTCATTTGCAGGTGGAGTTTGAGAAGTCGTACCGCGGTGGGTCGGCGTCAGTACTATGTAGTAGCGCGGCCGCACGTGCAGTATTGGTGTCGAAGCTGTCGCCGCCACCGCCCGCCGCCGGATACTCGCCGCCTGCTGTTTGGAGGCACAATATCGCCCCTACTACTGCACTCTACGTTGCGCCCAACGTTATTGCACTGGGTAACTGTAGTAGCATTAAAAAAAAAATTGTGTTCAGAAAAGCAACGTATTGGTGGCTATTCTAAAGTTGCTAGTGTTCATGGTTTGCAGTGATCACTTAACCATCAAGTGAGCCGCAGGCCTCATTGCTTTTCTTTCATATTAAAAAAAAAGTAAGTAATCTACACTCGCTCCGCTATTTAGTGCAACTAGAGTAGTTTACCAGAGGGAGACTTTGTACAAAAGTCGATTGCTTGGGTACCTCTGTTCCATTCGTGTTTCAACCGTGAAGCAGTCGTGATATGACGTGAATTTACTGGGTACAGAGGAATAACATCTGAGTCCTCAGGAATGCAACGCATAGGGGGTATCATGGGCGAAACAGTATACTCTGTTATATCCATGGTACTGCTCATGTCTATAGGCGATGGTTACCACTTTCCATCAGGTGGGCCGTCAGTTTGTTTGCCATTCTAAGTTGTATAAAAAAAAAGAAAGCTAAGCGTGTTTTAAACGACTCGACTTTATAGCTGTAATTTGACGGCGGCAGGTACCAGCGAGGGCCTGCACTCGCTCCGCGGGCCAGTGCGGCTCGAGTGGGAGTGGGAGGGCGGCGGCCTCGCGCCGGTGACGTGCATGTGCGCGGCGGGCGGCCGCGTGCTGCTGGGCGGCGGCGGCGGCGGCGGCGGCGGCGGCGGCGGCGGCGGCGCGCTGGCTGCGGCGGCGCTGCTGGCGCTGGACTCGGCGCTGCGCCGCGCCGCGCCGCTGCAGCCCTCGCTCGCCGTCCGCGCCGTCGCGTTACCCGGATACTCGGCGCCACGGCTACTTACGGTCGGTATACTATTCCCTGGCAGGACCTACCGATATGAGAGCCCATCCACACAAAACACTTAGAATATTGCAAACAGTTGTTTTAATAGAGTCTTTTGTTGCTTTTTTATCGTACTTTTTTATAATATTAGTAATAACAACACTGAAGTCAAAATAATTATTAGTGCCATACAATCACACCAATCGCTTAATCCTCAAACTAGGATACCTTGTGTTATGAGGAACTAGGCAATAAACAAAATTTCAGTAAAATTAAAAAATATATTCAGTTTTTCTTTTAAATTCATCAAGAAAGCAGAAATAAGCTGCTAGCTGCATAGCATTTGTCTCATTCGCAATAAACTGAGCTGTGACCATTTTGTGTTACTATGGCACACGCATGAAGGAATGTTAACAAAGGAGATTGTTAGATTATGTATTTTGTTTTTGTATTTTTGTTTTTTTATTTGTGCTTTTTTTATTTTTATTCTTTTGTCTCTTTTACTGTGTATTACGTGTATGTTTTTTTTTATTTTTTTTATTGTAATTTGTGTGCTGTAAGTAATGCAAATAAATTGTCTATCTATCTATCTATCTATCATAACGATTTGTTAATATTTCACTGCTACTCCTCCTAAACTACTGTACTGAAAAATTACATAACATTTTTATTAACATTATAACTAACAAAAAAGTTAAAAATGATTTATATCTAAAATAACCTCCATATTCTACATGTTTGCTTTTATAATGCATCTATGTATATATTTATATATATATATATATATAAATATATATATATATATATATATATATATATAGATGAGTTTACTTTGTGTTTACGAATCAGAGGACACAGAATTATTAGTAAAAAAACTTATAAATTTGCAGGGAATATATGAAGAGACATCAGATGGCCTGTGTGCAGCAGTAGCGAGTGGACGGCATGTGTTGCTGCTAGGACTCGATCGCGCTGCCGATCAGTTCCTCTTAGTGCGCGCACTGCCGGTAGAATGCACTCCCGCTGCGATACTACTCACGCGCCGTGCGCTCTACGTCGCAGGCGAGAAACCTCTACGGGTTGACCTACCCGCGGGAACGATCGAACCGTTCGCTATGGACGAGCCCATCATCGCTGCCGCTGCGAGAAAACGGTCTCCGCCCAAAAAGATCCTTCTCGTGCGCAACGACCCTGTAGAATTACTGATTTGTTATGCGGAATGCGGCGTGTTCGTTGACGAAACAGGCAAGCGCACCCGCAACGAAGACCCTAAGTGGAGTTCAGCCGTCCATGGATGGGAATTCGTCAATCCGTTCTTGTATGTGATTGGAGAGGATAGAGTGACCATCCTCTATGTGAACGATGAGGTGTATAGGAGTCCGCCGTGCACGTGCGATGCGACGTCCCTGGCGTCTACCGCATCCGACTATTACAGCCCACAAGTGTTTAACTTAAAAATGAACGAGCCCGAGTTGCTCGGTACAGCGCCGAATGGCGTTATAGTTCGGTCGAAGACAGAGAACGAATATACAGTCTACGTGGTTGAAGGAATGCCTGCTTTTAAAAGTATTGGCGCATCGGTAGAATCACTAGAGACTGTATCGGAAAGAAATAGTTCTTCGACAGATTTAGCCCAGTCTTTGACAGATTTGTATCCTCAAGATGTCCAGGACGTCTCCCAGGAAAGCGTAGAAGCGACTACAGGCTTTCTTGCAGACATAAGGAAAAGAGCGCAACAGTTACGTAATAAAAATCGAAAAGACCAAACCCCAGACGATGTTATAGCGGAAATTTTAACTACAGAGGTTGGTTTAAAACGTTCAATAAATGGTAGAAAATCTCCAGCGAGTATTTCGAGTAGCGATTCTACTGAGACAACTGAAGAAGAAAGGACTTCGACCAAGGGTACATCAGAAGTCTGCGCAGAAATGTTCACCAGACAGGTACGATTTCAATGAAAATGAAATAAAATTAAGACTGTACATTAACTGTATTGTATATTTAAAAGTAATAAAATCAACCTCACATTTGTAAACAACTCAGTTTTAATCCCGATCTGATTTTAGGTATAAGGTTTTACTTATTAATGTAACTTTTTAAAATTGTATGGTATAGGTTCATACCAATTTTCTCCAATGTTTATATACTTTTTATTTTGTGGACTCATATACATTTTTACATAATACAAGCAAGAAGCTAATTTTAACAATAATAAATAATTACCTATTTACTAATATGACCCATTTCATCTCGATTTTGTTTGTATTATTGCCATTTACGTATTACCAGTATTTTGTAAAAGTAAATATTACTCAAATTGGCTTTGAGTACTTAGACTAATTGCTAATTATTGAATTAATTAGGAGCCTTTACTGTGATTTGATACCTAATTTTAACGCGTTTAGATATAGTTTAGTTGGTAAAGTATTTATTATAGTTATAATGAAGGCAAAAATCTGACTATATTATTGAGCGCCAGTGTTTAAATAATGTTTTTAAGTTGTATGACATGTTAAAATATATATTTTTACACAAGTAACCGTTTTTCAATCGCTTACCTAAAAGTTCGCTATTACAAAACATCCATTTGGTAAAAAATTGGGTAAGTTAAAATCTAAACTAGTTACGAATGTTATAGTATCGTTTAGCTATCCTTTCGCAGAAACAATAATTAGTACCGAAAAAAAAAAACAATTTACTGCGTTATGTACATATATATATGAAAATGAGGGTAATTTCGGGACTAGACATTGGTCGTGCACACCATAACATTACATACGCAATTAGCAGAACTAAACAGGCAAAAAAGTTCATTTTGTTATGCAATAAAAACATATAGTTAAAATTGTTGGAATCTTTTATTTACAACCTTATACATTTTACATAATATAAAGTGCGATTTGAAGAACCGCTAACGTTTCACAAATTTATTTTATTACATCGACCACTATTTCTCAATCAAGAAACACAATTTTCTTTAATTAAGAAATGACATATTTTACCAAACATCAGTTAGCAAATAAACTTCATCCATGTACTTTAAAAGTGTACTACAATGTCTGACGTAACAGCAGAGATCTACATTTATTCACAAATAATGTACAACACAAATTATACAGTATGTTACTTCTGACGCCTATGTCTAATCAATCATTTTAAACTCAGTCAAAATATGTTTCGTATAATACAAAATTACTATTAATGATTATTACATACAAGAGTGCACTAGGCGTTCACATAAATACAAGAAATAAAACAGTTCGATTCACACACCACACAGTAATTTATAATTAAATACAAATTACATATTCGTTTCAGGCAGTTTTGAGAGCATTACATTCAAAGTGACACTGGTAGAAACGTACGTTTCAAAAAATGCCTGCTTTATAAAGATACAAATTGAGATAGTCTTTAAACACACTTTATGAAGAAGTAATTTTCTTCAAATAGTCACTAATTAATCAATGCGAATAAAACCTTACTGGAACCAAATAGGTCTCCAATTGAATCAAATTTGTCTACTTATCTCAAAATATTTAAATATTATGAAACAAAAAACAATTTTAGGGATATACAAATTTTTTTTCTTTTGCGCGAAAACAACAATGGTGTTATATACAAGTTTTTAATTCGCAATGACGAAATTATTTACTACACAGTATGTATTGCTGCTGCCATAATAATGAGATTCGTTGGTTAACAAAATCTCATCAACGCATGCCCGAGTAAATTTCTTAGTTAAAAACAACTCAAGAACGCGTGAAAAAGTAATGTAACCAACAAAGCTTGTATATTATGAGGACAAAGCTTGCGAGTTTTACTCAGTTTTCGTGGGCCGCTTTACAGCAAGATAATAAATTATATTGCTGTCACGGAAGACTAAGATTACAAAAGGAGGTTTCTTGTTCTACTATAAATGTGAAACTTTGTCAATCTGTTTGGATGTTTGCTACTTAAACACGTACAAACTGAATGAAATTTGATACATAGATCATATAAAGAGATGATCAATACATAGGATACTATTTATCTTAATTCAGGCGAACAAAACCGTGGGATACAGCTAGTTTCAACTTATAATTATGATTCTTTTCCAAAGCACACACACTTGAACACTTGGTAACAAGACTGCTTCTTATTAATTATAATAAGTAATACATATTACAAATAGAAACTTTAGTGCCTTTTTTAAGTTTCTTCATAGTCTATTTTATTGAGACTGATTAAAATTTGTATTTTAATTACTTGAATACTATAGTCCATTCGTTATCATTCCAGTTTCTCTTATAAAGCAGTTCATGATGAGTTAGATTGTTACTATGTTTATATCCCGAATATACCAGAAAAGACCGATTTGATATTTATTACTAGTAAGTAAAAATTTCAAACCCCAATATTAATAAGTTGGAATATTATATTATTAATCTTAATATATCAATACATATGTAATAGAATCCTGTCCACATTAGGTTTATACACCGATCTAAAGCATTTTCTCTCATAAGGAACTAAGAGTTATTGTATTGTGTATTTTGATCACTACAAAAGAGTATGCAGGTATTTGCTAATAAAATATTCATTGTCTCTGTCACATCGATATGGGTTCTTACTTGAACACTAAATATTATTTAAAAAAATCATTGAGATTGCTACAGATCAAACAAACGGAAATATATTAAATTGAATGATGAGACAGTCTTTGTGTCCAAATGTATGTATCGACATATTTGTGTTTGTATGAAGCTGTATAATCGCTCGACATATATGCATGCAGTGTGCTGGGTTCAGTTGAGGAAGCCGCGGCACTGCGGCGCACCGCACAAGCACGGAATCTTCTCGTCTTCTAGTGGGAACTTGTAATCGTAAGTGATCTCTTCGTCTACACCGATCGGCTGCTTTGAGTATATCACAATTTTCTTTTGAGACTCTATTGTTATTATCTTCGCGTAGCAGTTCGGCTGTAATTAAAATGTTTATTAATTTAATAATTTGAAGTCATTAAATTATTAATTATGAAATTAATATATTTTTAAACTAGTCAGATGGTAAATCAAGGATATTTTATGCCTAATATATGTAATAATAGAGAAACATGCATCTTATTTTAAACTTTAATAACAAAGGACATCAGTACGATATTTTGTTTTGTACCCATAATTGTAATAAGAATATTTCAATATATGTACTATGACATTTGCGAGTTTGATCAGCTCACAATTTGATCATTTTGTTAGTAATAAAAACTATGTTAGTAAAAAGTAAACATACAACTTGAGCAGTCAGATGTGACCCAGCCATCTAGATTTGCATCTGAATGAAATGCTTAATTATAGGCGAGTTGTATCTCTCGCTTATTACTTTCAGAATTCTGTTGGTGCTTGTTCTAACTCTGTGTAGCAATGATGCAGTTCTCTTTCACCTTATAAGGATACTATGCTATAGCATAGTAATCATTTACGCAAGATTGAGCAAACATGCTAGAGGCGCTACAAAAACGAAGTAGCCCAAACAGCACTCTAAAATCGTTATTATACTGGATTCGTAGGGCACTGAGGCCTGTGTTTAGTATAGCCGCAGGTTACCGGTTGTAAATAATAAAAATAAGTGAAAACTGTACAACATACATTGCAGCTGTGGTTGATGAATCTGGCGAGGTTGCCACACTTGGTGGCGTCTATGATGGTGTCGAGATCGATGCGGAACAGGTATGAGCTGCCGATGCCGGTCGCCTCGTACTGCGCCTCGCGCACGTCCGCTACTATCGGTCGGATCATCTGGCCCACGTACTCGATCACCATCTCGTCCGCCGCTATCGGCTCCTGTTTAACACAAATACAGTGTAAACTAACTATAAGGAAACTTAAAAGGATTATTTCATTATACATTAAAGAGTTCATATGGAAAGCTTACGAAGTTACATTTAGTTCCGTAAATTCAGTTAAAGCACCTTTTAAATACTCTATCAGAAATATTTAAAAGGCGAAATTATATAAAATATTAAAAAAAATTTCTGAATCAGTTTAAACACTCTGGATGATATATGAAAAATATGTATTAATTTATAAGTATATTATTTAGAATGGCGCCTCGATTGTCTTCTCAATAAGAACATACTGTTTCGCTTTTTTAGTCTTAGAGAAAGTACAAAGATTATTAGAGAAATCTCACCTGAGCGAAGAGACCCCAATCGTGGATGCCGGACTTGGCGAACTTCAACTGTTTCTTTCTGAATTTCAATTGATTGAACTTCAACAGATCTGAATCCGTATCAGTACCTGCACCAGAAAATAAAATTTAATACATCAAGCTGCTAAATAATAATAATTAAATGTGAGCACTTGTGAACGTGTATATACACAATTTAAAATATCCGACCTTAATTTAACAAATTTATTTTGAGATCAAATAGCAGTAAGCTATTTAAATATAAAAAAAAATCGTCGAATAAAATCTTAATAAAACCACGAAGAATTTGCATAACACACACAAATACAAAGCTGCATATACACCGCTTTGCAATCGATTTAAAAGAGAAATCTATTAATCTAGAACATTAAAACCTATCTTATTTATTCACTTTTTTTGAAATTGGAAATTTAGCACAGAAGAAAGAGACATGACACTTGAATAGCTAAAATAGGTTTGTAAGTTGTCATTTTTATAAGACAGTAAGTTGTTAGATCAATAAAATCACAGTAAAGAGCATACCAAATGCAGTAAGCAGTCTCCTCTGGTTGGACCTGGCCTCTCTGGATAACAACTGCATCTTGGAGGCTTTCTTGTCGTCCGTCTGCTGTTGCAGCGCGGCCGCATTGCTGCGCCCGTGGTGGTACTTATATTTGGCCTTCAGTCGCGCATCCATTTTGTAATAACCTTCAGTACGAGCTGACCCACTCGAGTGACCCTGGTATACAAAGAATACAAGTAAAAACGAGTTACTAAAAGTTATAATAATATCGCTCTTAAGTTAAAAAATAAACATATTAACCCTTCTTTGCATGATTCGCACATGATCGCGCACATGAGATAGAATGGGACGGTGAACGTTTCTGTTTCATGCAGACGAAATAGAAAACGTATCTATCGATCTACAGAGGCCCCAGATTAGTGACTTTAGTCACTCGTTTAACTATAGCCATGTCACAATTACCCACAGAACAGGGTAAATGTACCTATTTCTGCGGCATAGTGCATGCAACGTTTATACGACAATCGCTGTAACATAGCGGTGGGAATGTTGATTGTTTAATCCGGGACAGAATTGATTTCCAATGGTTCGAGTTTGAATGTTTTGGTATATAATCCTAAATGTCCGTTGCCTAGTTTTCCATTGCTGAGGATTAAGCAATTGGTGGCACTTATTATAATTAATCGTTACAAAACGCAGTGACCAGTGCACCCACCTGCAGGTCCTCGTAGATATTGTTGTGTCGTTTGCTGCGTTTGCGCGGCGGGCTGTAGCAGACGTCAGTGGGCGGGTGGTCGACCCAGTGCGTGTCGTTGAGCCAGTAGCCCTGCGGGTCCTCCGCCAGCAGCGTCTCATACGCGCGCCGCAGGTACTCCACGTCCTCGCGGTCGATGCCGCGCGTCAGGAACTCGTACATCACCTGCATCTCGCACATTATGTCACGCGGCTTGAACGTCCACCCGTCTGCCGACGCCGTCGCCGACTGCTCCTCCTGACTCGAGTACAATCTGAAATGCATTACATATTTTAGACCATGTGCACGAATATGCCTATTTATCTACCCCTACGACACGTCCCGTATAGGGTAACAGAGAAACTGAATGAAATCAACAAAACTCATCATCATCATCTTGTTGCTACTTTTATCAATTAATCAATTATCATTTGGGGTCGGCGTAATATGTTTTTCTCTTCCATACTTCATCAACAAGACTATGATTATAAAATACTAAAAGTTGACAAGAAAAATAATAGACAGTCGCTCGTCGAATTTATTGATAGAATCGTTATCGCTAATGAGTCCATGAGGTAGCTGAGTTGGTGGCGTCCGGTGTCTTGTTCTTTTCCATGCCAACGCTAATAGAAACAATTCTATCGAGAGATTTATTTACCACTTCTTTAAGAAAGGCGATTGGTGATTGGTTGAAAATTTAAAATCAATTAATTTGAAAAGTTATATGTATATATTAATATGTGCTTATTATACCATTTGCAACTTACTTATTCTGTATTTCGGCCAACTTCTTCGATTCATATTTCCTCTTGTACGGCCGTTTGGTCTCTTTTTTAGGTTTAATCTCCTCTTGTATTGTTTCACTTTCTGGTTCAGCCATCCATGTGTAACCTGATATAAATAATTATGATATATTTTTACAAGATAGTTCTAACATACTCTGACCAAATTGGTCTTACGGGCAATGATTTGAGACTTAATTACTGTTATTACATTCGATGCTAAAATAATTTATAATTTTTGACAATGAAATCAAGTAATCCAATATCATATCGCACACTTAAAATTATACAAACAGCTACTCAGCTTGTTAACTTACGCCTACTTAACTCACTATAAAGATTAAAAGGCACACACCGTGATCGTGCTGCAAGTGGTTGGAGGTGCGGCGCTGCGAGGCGAGGGCGGGCGCGGCGGGCGCGGCGGGCGCGGCGGGCTGGTCGGGCGGCGGCCGGCAGTACGAGTGGTCGAGCGCCACCTGCGACGCTTGCGACGCTTGCGACGCCTGCGACTGCGGCGACGACGTCTCCGACAGCGCGCTGCTCGCCTGCAACAACTCATATTCATGAGTACTCTCTACTATACTATACTATACTGTAGGTCCTCGCATTTTAGGGGTTTTTATCTTGAAGACAATTTTATTGACACAAACGCAATACTGCTTGGCCTGTCGCAGCATACTAACGCGCTATCCGATCGAACTCGATAGACAATACTGAGCTTTATTACGCTCGCACAAAAGTTGCTTTTTAATGTACATTACGAAATGAATTTCCCTATGATGACTACACATGGTTATAGGATAAATAGATTAACGACCCACCTACAATAAAGTAACTTTCATTTATAGACATTAACAACATGGCCATTATAGAATGCAGGTACTGTTATAAACATGGTATCTGTCAATAGATACCTAACGACGGGGGGGCCAAAGATAGCTGAATGTGATAAATGAATGAGAATGATGATATTGGGTTTTATTTCGAGTTTTCTTTCTCTTGGACTATGTATTGTGATTTATTCCTTTAGTAGCCTCTTAAAGAGTCCAATTCAATAACAGTAATTCTAAGATTTAAAAATGCAATTAACTTATTTAAAATATTATAAATCTAATTAACAAAATACTATAAAAATCTAAGCTATAACTTACTTCTTTGACTCCATTAACGCTAATATTAGTTTCATTATTACTGTGATCACTGACAGAAATAATTCTCTTTCTTTTATCATTCTTCTTTGATCTCTTTTCCTTTCTTCTTATTTCTAAAGGCTCCTCGTCGGAAGAGATTTCGCCTTCTTCTAACTCCTCCTTACTTTCCCTCTTATCTGGTGATTTCAGATGGTTCTTGATTGGACTACTTCTAGATTGTTCTGGTTTACTGTCTTGTATACTGGAAAATTAAAATTATATAATTAAATTTATTTTCACTAAAAGAACAACATTCAAATAATATAGTACAGTAGCTAAATCAAACATAAAGGGTAAAAATATTCATAAAAAAACAATTAAAAAACTTCTCTCTTTACTTGCACGCAATTTTACGTTTCCAACGTGTGAGATACTATGTCAACGAGAGGTGGTGCAATTATGCAAAGATAATTATTATAAAATTATTATTAATATACATTAAATTAAATTAATTAAAAGTACCTTTCGTCAGGAGGTTTATCCGGCTGCAGGCGCATAGCCACTTCCATTGTCTTTCTTTGCTCCTCCAAAAATTCTCTCTCGATCTGTTCCATATACTCTGTATTCCGTCTTCTTCTTTCCTATAAAATATAGTGACGATATATATTAGTAATTAATATCTCAATCGTTAACTGTACACTACATAAGCCTTCCCCATAAGGAGAGTGTTACCAGTAGTTGCTACGCTTGGCAGACGGGTTGACAACCGCAGTTTGGCTTAAAAGCCGAAAAAAGAGATGTTTAAAGAGAGATGATGCTGCCCATCCTTCCCCCTCTTTAGTCGCCTCTTACGACACCCACGGGAAAGGAAGGGATGGCTCATTGGTAGGCATAAAATTTTTCGTAATCTAGATGTATGTAAGCTATTTGATAGAGAATCCAAGAGTCTCTAGAACCAGTGTGCATAGGACCATTAAAGAGATTGGATTTATCTGCAAAGTGAACAAGTCCGCTTGATCTCTCTCGTATATATAATGGACATTCCTGCACAATGTAGCAATATGCTGTAGTGGGACACTACATTTGCAATATATAGGCTCATATACTTATAGAATTAACAGTTTTCGCATCTAGTCCTTAGCCTGTTCAGGATTTACTAGTCTCTTCTTGGAAGTGAGAAGCCATGATTTTAATATTAGCAATAGTGTGATAGGTGTATGAGTATACCTGGTACTCGCGCTCCTCCTCCGAGTCGGAGTAGACGCGGTCGAGCAGCAGGTCGCGCGGCTCCTCCGGCGACAGGATGGGCGAGCCCAGCCGGTCCTCCTCCGCCTCCACCTCCGGTATCGGCGTCTTCTCTGATATTCACAAATATAAATGCATTTTAATATAAGTTATTCCTTTTTTACAAAATAAAGGACAAAATACGCATGGGATCCACTCCGTGAGTTGTCGGAATAAAAAACAATGTGTCAATATTCCGTTCCGTTTCCGTAAAGTCATAAAAAATGTCGAGGTGTACAAAGTACAGCATAAATAGGTTCCCCTCTTTCGATTTTCGAAAAATTCGATTAAAATCCAATACCAAACTGCTTAACCAAGGCAACAGCAAATTATATCTCTACATTAATAGATAATAACGAATAATATCGGTACATCATCATCATGAAATAAACCATATTTATTAAAAATCAATAAATCAATCACACATTGACAATTTTTGAAGTGGATTGATAAACTGTATAGTTAAATATTGAAGTTTCTTACATACCTCTTCTACTCTGTTCCTCCTCACTGTCAGATGATGATGAGTATACTCTCCGTAACCTTTCCTTGTTCGAAACAACTTTGAGCTGAAAACAAAGGTTTATTTTTAAATAAAGGCTGAATTTCTAAGCGTCATCCCTCATCTAATAATATTGCAACTTAGACAAGTAATGTAGAAAAATAATTATATTTTCCTTTTTAACTTATTAAATACAAGCTTTATTAAAATAATTATTTTAATCATATCCTATTTGTTTGTAAATAGTGTACCTCAGCCTCTTCGAGTTCGGAATCATCGTCAGTATCGGAGTAGATCCTGGGCGCAGCGTTCTTCCGCTCCGATTCTGACTCTGATGATGATGAGCGCGATGAAGATGACGATGATGATCTGTAATACATATTTATATATAAAATTACAACTAAATCGTTATTCTAAGGTTCAATTAGAGCAACATTTATAATAAATTAGAGCCAAGATCACTCTTTTTAGTTCTTGTTGGCCTGTAACATAATACTTTTGTTAAATTATCAATTTAAAATATAAATTGTATGTAGATAATATTGCAGTACACATAACTTTTAGACTTTCGCGCTGCATGTTTTATAAGACACGGGAATTATCCGGAGCAACCTGGTCAAAACGTCGAAATAATTCAGGTAAATCATAGTTTACTTAATTCATTTCATTGATTCCCATCTCTTCATTATCATCATATCAGCCTTTAACTGTCCACTGCTGAACATAAGCCTCCCCTTTGGAGGTTTTGCCAGTAGTTGCCATGCTTGGCAGGTGGGTTGGCAATCGCAATTAGGTTTTTGAGAAGTTTAAGAGAGGCGCTGCTACCCATCCCTTGACTTCTTACGATTCCCACTTAGTACCAGTTACCCACTTAGTCTATTCTTACGATACCTACGAAAAAGGGTAGAACAACACAGTGACATAATTGCGGTACTTCATTATATACTATCAATTTTGTATATTTATTTAGTTGATAATAATAATATTTCAAATTAGCTTTCTACTTAATACTTCATATGCGTGGATTTCAGAAGTAAGAAAATCAATAAAATAGATCATTTCTAGGTGGCCTATTAAGATAAAAAAATATACCAGACTTTAGGTTACATTGTCGAAATGCAACTGTGAAAACCGCATTACATTTAATACAGTAGTTTTTGCGTGATGCGGGGAACTACCATACAGACAGATAGCCAAAATTGAAAAAAATATTGTTATGGCATCTATTAGTCTTAAGATCTCTCATATCTCTATCTTCCATGTACAGACATTTACAATTTTATTATATTAGTAAGACGCCTCTTTGTAGAATCAAATAAATATAAAATTTTCGCTAAAAACGAGATCGAGAAATGAAATGAAAATTATTTCAGGAAGGTGATTGATGCAGCTGATTCTATATTGGCATTGTACTTTGTGGTGAAATGCATTGAACAGAGAAGAGGATGAAATGATGATTATGGTGTAATACCTCGAGGAGCTGGTAGAGCGGCGCCGCTGACTCCGCGAGAGATACGAGCCCGCGGTCCTGTTGCGCGGACTCACTGGCACCTCCTTCTCCTCGTCAGAGTTCTGAACCATCTCCTCCTAACGTGTGCACAAATATTATATTGATTAGTTTGATTATCAGTGATATAGGACACCTATAATTACTTTTATCTTATATTTTATATATAATTCTCGTGTCACGGTGTTTGTTACCAAACTCCTCCGAAACGGCTTTACCGATTTTTATGAAATTTTGTGTGCATATTGGGTAGGTCTGAGAATCGGCCAACATCTATTTTACATACACGTAATGATAAAGGTGACCCTCCCCAAAATTTTTTTTATTTTTTTAACAAATTTTTTCATTGTTATTTTATTATGATTTAGCAATAAAAATACACACAACTTTAAATTTTCATCGTTTTACGATCAACCCCTGTCTTTTAAAACATAATAGTTACATAGACTTAAACAATTTATTTATATAACAACATAATTCTTTTTGACAATGGTTAGTTAAAGTCTAATGGCCCTATTTCTAGTAATATAGGTCAGGTCGACCTCCACGTGGTCCCTCTAAAAACTACTGTGGTTAATCCTTAGTGAATTCGTTACGATGAGCTAACTAATCAATGTAAGGCCAATTAGTTATCTTCACCTGCCGTCCCTTACTGGTACGTCGCTAGCGGATAACGATAGCGTAAGCAGGTATACTAATTTCATTTTTATCTCATAAAAATTATATACAACACAACTTAGTATATTTCATGAATAAAAACCTTTAATCTTAGTTAATCTGTCGTACCTGATCGCTCAGCCTCTTAGAGGAGTCCTCGTCCATAACAACAGGCGACGGTATCTTTCTCTTGCGGCGAAAACTCGGCATCTTGGGTATGGCGGCGCGGAGCCCCAGACCTATGCCTGCACCGTACCCTCCTAGCTCCAGCCCGAGCTCGCGTGTTTCCATTATAGTCTTTATTGAGTCTACAGGCTCTTCCTTTTTATTCGAAATATCCTAAGAAAGAAAAAAATCATTAAGTATAAAAAACCTGTAATACTTTAAAGTTTAAAATTCTCAATCTTGTTAATAAGCAAAATATAAAAAAAAAATATATATGTAATTAAATAAAACAGAGACTAAGATAAAAATATTCCAGATTTTTTCCAAGATCTATTATGTATTTTAATAGACTTTGAGAACAAGTGAAAACAACATGTTAGAATTTGTGATAAATATAGATAAAATATTTGATACCAACGGCGGACATAATGCTATACAAGATATATAAATATTATTGGGATATAAGACTTTGGCTATAGGTAGAATGGAGATATTAAAAAAACTATTTAATTTTCAATGTTTTTAAATGATTTAAATTCAAATATAATTCTAATAATAATCCTGGACTTAAAAATATAATGTTATAATAATAAAATAATAAAAGTTTAATACATAGAAAGTCCAATGTTTACATATATTATATATATAAATTAACTAAACTAAATTAACTTCAAAAGGCAAAACACGATATATTTGATACTCTCCGTTATATAGATACCTTTTACACATCGGATTAAAAAATGAAACATTGATTATAATGTTTGACATTAGCAAATGAATACTGATTTGTCTCACCCATACCTGTAATGGTTGGCCAGTATCTTCAGCCTTCAGCTTAGCGCTCTGTCTCAGCTTACGACTCTGTTCATCCCACCACACTTCAAAACTCTTGAAGGCGGTACTCTCAATCATCTTCTTATTAAAGTCCTTTTTCAATATCTGTTTGAGTTCAGTCGTTACACGTTCTATGACGCTGTTGATAGTGGGGTAGTACGGGTTGTCCAGCTCCTGCTAAATAATACAAATAACTATCTGTTTAGTATGTTTAAAAAATGAACTTTTCATTTAACCTGACTGAGAATCAAACCTCATCTAGAAAGGTCGTAAAGAGTGGTTATAAATGAAGTAGCGAGTATTGACCTGCGGCGGGTGGTGCGCGTCGTGGTAGGGCGCGTAGTGCGGCAGCAGCGGCGGCGCGAAGGGTCCGGCGTACGCCAGCGCCAGCTCGGGGCCCACCGTCCCCACGGCCCGCACCGCGCCCACCGCCCCCATTGCTCCGCTCGCAGCGTAACCGGGTGCATATGCTATGTACAATAATATTCAATTTAAACATGTCGCAACACCCATACTTGGCGTGTCAATTTACGATTCAAAATTAGATGCAGTAGAGTCTAATTACCTATTTTTAAGATAAGTTGAAGTAATTTCAACATCTATGTCTAATGCTGAGGTCAATCTGTCAGCAAGATAACTATTAAAAAAATTGTTCTGTCAATATATTTATTACACGTACGTATGCACACACATACGCACGCACGCACCCATGCTCGCACTCACGCACGCATGCACAGACACACATTATTAGATTAAAAAAAACTAATTCATTTTGTTTAATAACAGAAGCTAAAATATAAAGACCATCATCATCTTCCTACTCTTATCCCAATCATTTGGGGTCGGCGTAATATGATTTTATCCATATTACAAAAAGATTTGATTTTTTAGTTTTACGACCGGCCACTTGCCTGACGTCAATCCTATTTGGTAAATATAAAGACCATGGAATATAATTGTTATAAAAGGGCGGTTTTCTCTCTTACAAGCATTTTTTGCTTAACAGGGGATACAAAACCTTGTAATGTACCTAAATATTTTTAGTTTGTAAAAATAAATAATAATTATTATAATAATATAGTGATTATTAAATTAGCTTCAACTTCGATGTTGAATGTATATTTATAATCTACTATCTCTATATATATCTATCTATAAAAATTCTAAAATATATTATTTTGGTTTCTATTGCACTTATTCGATTATAATTTTTTTTTAAATATCATGTACAGATATCATCTAGTAACAATTTTATTAAAGTAACAAAAAAAAAACACATTCTAAAATTGAACTAATTTACGCCACTTACCGGTAGGCGGCCACATGTGGTGGTAGTAGGGCTGGTGCGGCAGCGGGCCGGACGCGGGCGCGGGCGCGGCGGCGGCCGCGGGCGCTGCCGTGGGCGGGTACCCGTAGTACACGTCAGCCGGCACCGCTTCCTCGATCTTCGCTTCCGTTGACGACAGCGACGATAGGGACATCTGTTAGAATAAAAAGAATAATTTCGTGCGACGATAAAAATTTTAATTAGCCATATATAGCTAAAAACAGGTGAATAAAAACATTCAACATTTACGAAGGTTTTTTCGCCGTTTAATAAGTGTAAGGGGTGGGAGATGTAAATATTTGTCCAGATACGCTAAGCTTGACCTTGAACGTGGGCTTGTAGAGTGCTACGTTTATAGCTATGGCAGCAGTCGACAAAAATCTATGACTAGTGATTATACTCGTAGCTGTGAGCATATTTTTTTATAACATTCAAGTGGGATGTAGTGTTACCTGGTCGTCGTCGAGGTTGTCCAAGTCGCGTGCGTCGGGCGGCGCAGGTGAGCGGCGCCGCTCCTCGCCCGTCAGCAGCTCGTCCTCCGACGACGATATGTCGGATCCGATCTTGTCTAGTACCGGCAACTTACGCGGCTCCTGCTTCGGCTTCGGTTTCTACATAACCAAAGTATATATAAAACTACAGATAATAAAAGAGTGTAAAAGAGACTGACCAGAATCCAAAAAAAATCCTTAGGGAACTTTAATTCATTTTATTTCAAAACTATTCCATACCGTAGAAAAATATCTCATAATAGCACGTTATAATTGCATGTAAATTATATTAAAGCCCTATGAAAAAGTCATTAGGCGAAGCCGATCGAATATTAAACAAAAATTATGTTAAGTAGGTTGTCTGTAACAGACTGTTATAAGAAATAAAACCGCCTTTTATATAGCACAAGGTTTTAAAAATGTTCTCAGTTTATTATTTTTGGGAATCATTAAAGAATTTAACATTACTGTAGTATACATGAAATATATTTGTCTACAGTTAATTTACCAAATATAGTTTACATTTTGAATAACTTAGTCTAAATATGAAAACAAAACGGCACAATTTTTTTTATTAGATTACCTTTTCAACAGTAATTTGTAGACACTCGAGATAGAACTCTCTAGAGAGATATGGTGATGGTGTAGTCGACAGTGGCTCGGGTTCCATATCTTTCGGCTGCTCCACCGACATAATACTTTCCCGGTCATCGCTTATTGAATCTATTAAAGATAATATAATTTAAATATAAAAGGACATTACATACTAATGGAACAATATAAATAAAATATATATTCACAGAATAAAATAATAAAGAAAAACGTAAAATTTTCAACAATATATGTTGTCTATTGGCTTGGTTTATAACTTTAATAATTTCTGAATTAGGTTTGAATTTTTTTTTTACAATCTATAGCCATATATATATTGTAATCATTATGAAGTATTTTAGGCACCCATAATTAAAATTAATTTTACTACACTTTATTAGGCCCGGTGCGAATTACATTTATACAACCAAAATATGATCAAATCGTGTAACGTGCATAGTATTCTTGCAGAAAATTAAAAGCATCCTCATACTTACAATTTTAAACACATTTATTTATTTATTTAAAGGAACATCAACAGCATATTGCATTATAATTATATATATAACAAACATTAAATACAATACAATATTAATGCACACGCCTATTATACGTATTCACATTAAAGATTAATTAATATCGTGAGTATAAGTCATGCTGTGATATAATAATAAATATCACTGGATATATAACACAGTGCCATCTATGCCAAAACATAGCAGGGCTTGTATGGTGGGCACTTTTTTTTAATGGATGATAATGAAATGGTAACTCAGCCTGCGCTAACGGTATACGCTGACGGAGCACCAGTGAGGGATGATACGTGAGAATGATAGCAGGTTTCTTCGTAGGCAGTTATCGTAAACTTGTGACGTTGACCTTACACAGGTGATTACACGCATCGCGTTGGATTTAGTACGTATATTATGTTCTTTTTTTTATATATTTCATTATATTATTATTTCTTTATATTATGATATATAATATAGATTATATGATTTTAAATTGAAAAAAAAAGACGGTAAAATGTGAAATTTCCTGGAAAGGATTTCCACTGGTTTTTAGTTTAGAGCAATGGTCTGAATTCATTGTTTCAGTTTTTGCCAACTTGTCCCTTACATCCTGTATATATACAATACCTAGATCACTCCTATTGCTAGCAATATACCCAACCAGGTCGACCTCCTCGCGGTTCCCCCTGGAAACTATCATGGTTAATTCCTGATAAATTCATCATGATGGGCTAACTAGCCTGTTTTCATTCTCATCGATCACCATTCACTGGTGCTCCTCCAGCGTATCCCGTTAGCGCAGGCGGGGTTACCATACCATTTTCAACTATCAAAAAAAAAATTCTTAGATCACGTAGGTACACTGTTCGGTCTACTTGAGTATAGTGTGTACTGTGCGGGAATCGAACTGGCAATAATCAGAAGGTGTAGCAGTGTGTTAAAGCACTATAACACCAATCAATATATTCCAATGTATATAAGTGGCGCGTGCGCACCGTCGTCGGAGGGCGGGTGGTGTGCGTCGAGGTCGGGTATGCGCGCGGGCAGGCGGTCGGCGTGGTGCTGCGGCGACAGCCCCAGCGCCAGGAACGGCGCCGCCAGCGCGCCGCCGCCGCCGCCGCCCGCGCCCGCGCCCTTCAGCAGCATCGCTATCCTGCACGCACACCGCGCATTACATTACTCCACACTCCATACAAAAACATGGTTTCATACAACTATCACTACTACAGAACAAAATCCAAATTTAAGACTACCTACGACAAACTATCCCCGTAAGTATTACAATTTTCTTTAACTATTATACATATGTTAGTTCATCGGCAGCGGGCGAGCTGACGTGTAAATCAGAGATCAGATAGAGATCTTTATGTAATTCATATCAAATGATTTCCAGGAAATGGAGGGGAAATGAAATCGAGAGAGCAGCAGGGAAGTGTCCATATTGTACTATTTTACTCTATTTCCATTCCTAATAACTATAGTATTTTGCCTCTGTACCCTGTAATTTCACAGTCCTATCCCAATATTAAAGTGAAACAAAACCAAGTATGCAACCAACAAAAACAGCTGTTGGTGATAGAAACAAAATTTCAATACAGGTTACTTCTACAGATGATTTTTCTAGTCTCTTTCTAAAGAATATTTAACAAAATATTTAATCTATATACCTAGTATCGAGATCAACGTTTTTAGGCTCATCTGCGGGCGGAGGTGGTTTCGGCTCTGGTTCCTTATCGTCGGCGGGGTCCTCTGGTGGCCGCGGTTCGACTGGCTCCACAACTTTGCTCTCTACTGGAACCTCCTGCGTTCAAATGTTCTTTTTATTATTGATGTTTATATATTTACGACATATTACACATTTAATTAGCCTATTAACAAACAAAAGTAGAAAAATTATTGTGAATTAAAGTACTATGACAAATAATATTTTAAAGTTTATCTAGACACAAAAACATGCAAATATAAAATATCCATGAATGATGAATGACTGAGACCATGCAAATTATATACTTCTACCTCCTCATTCATAAAACATCATAAAACGTATTTCAGTGATATATATAGACATAATTTGACTTCTTTTGCAGTAAATCCTCAATTAAAAAAAAATAACAAAACTTATAGATTTTAGTTTTTATGAATAAGACGGTTAATTTTTAGTTATTATACACTCCTATTGTACATGCATTCTTACCTCACAATCTCTTTTAAATACAACATATTACCATTGTTGTAAGCCCACCAAAATATCAGCAAATAAGTTTTTAGCTGTGCTACACACCTACACCACGAGTGCCTACAACAATACATTAATAAACCCGATTGGAAATTACGGAAAATATGTAACAGTTAAACTATTTACATTTTTTTTAAATCAATGATATATATTGGATGCATTTCTTTGCATTCATATCACATCATAAGGTATTAAATCTTAATTAGATTTTGTTTAATTATCCAATGTGCATCGATTACTTTTGCCGTCTAAGCTAATACAATTTAATATTATGTATTTTTTTATATTCTATAATATATTGTTGTTTACATAACTTCATTTAAAATAAATTATAATGTTGTGATCAATCAAATCAATTCGAGTTTTTCTTTATTTTTATAAGCTTGATAAAATGAAGGCATTTCGAATCTCTCAAGTTGGAGCGCATCTGACTATGGTTTTAAGGTTTAAAGTCGTGATAACTCTTATGTCTTATGTATAAGAAGAGATGAAAACTTCCTTTAATTTTTTTATGAATTGCGTTTATATGCAATAACAGGCCCAAGGTCACGTCTTATTTTGTTTATAATTCTTCAATACTTGTCTTATGTTTATAATATAATATAGACAAACAGGATTATTTTGCAAGAATAAATAAAAATTGACAAAATTATCCGCTGCACATCCTTTAACTTCATACATGATATTGTTTTTCTAATACTTTTATTAGACGATAGGGTTATAGAAATCAATTACAAAAATGTCATTATATTTTCCGTGATAGGCCGAATCGAGTTCCCTTGACCGACTACTACTCGACCTTGTCCTTGTCCCTTTTGTCCTTGACCTCGGGCTCGGGCTGCTGGGCAGGCGCGGGGGTGGACGACCACGAAGGAGTCGCGCTCGCTCGCCGCTCCAACTTCAGTCATATTATACACTTAATATCCTACTATGTACTCATATATTTTATGTAAGAATTAGTCCCACAGCAATTTGTATTCGAAACTAGACGCGTGTCGAGCATAACATTCATCCTCAATTTTACCTCTCTAAAGACTACAATTTTAAAACTTGTTTCCAAGTTATTTATGGGAATCCTTTAGAAAATTTCATTCATGTATTCTTCCTTCTGCACCGGTGTATCGATTTAGTATAACATTATCTATAGTGGATTTTTTTAAATTTTTTTCGATTAGAAAATAAAAACTTTATTTTCTAATTGGTTACAAATAAAAAAAAAATTAACCCACCTTTTAAAATTACGGCTCTGTTACACGTAATCATTATTCAACATTTCACCCGATAAAAAATGAAAATGAGCATATGAAAGTGAAATGAAAGAAGCAATCTCAAACTTATTGTTAATGTAACACATTCACACACTGATGAAGGTATATACAGAGCGAAATAGTTTGGGATCAGACAATAGGATTCATGAAGTGGTTTGAAAACAATGCAGTAGTTAATTAACCAGTGAAAACAGTAATTTAATTTTATGCAAAAGAGAAAAATGATCAAATATTATATAATACAACATAGAAACATCTTCATAATCTGATCTAGGATTTTTTTTAATACAAACAATATGTCTTTTCTTTGATATTAGTATTGGATAAATGCATGACAAATAAGATTTGATATCATTCAACCAATATATAAATAAAAAAAAATATTACAATATATCCTTTATTATTACAGCCCATATTTAATATGGAGCACCTTTTTGACATTCTAAATTTCAATAACTATAAGAGGCATTCTAAGAAGAATTTTAATATTAATTTTTCATGTAAAATATTGCTATTAATTTATATATTTTTTAAATTTTTTTTTGGACACTTTAACCATCAAAATTGCAGAATTCATTAAGAATCTTGATGCGTTATTATCATTTAATATGTCAGAAGAGCATTTCATAATTTCAAATGTCATTGTATTGTGAACTCACTGTATGCCATGGGTTCACCCGTAATCGTATTGTAATGTCGAATAGCTTAAACTAAAAAAAATTAACATCATATGTAAAAATAATTTTTCAAATACGACTGGTAGACCCAATGATTCACACCTTCGAATAATGAAACTCTTTCGATTCATTAAATTAGCATTAATGGGACTGATAATAGTAATCTCACGTGTTGGTGGTGGTGTGTTGGGGTGTGTAGCGCATGGTGCGGTTGACGCCAGTCGTTCCACCACACGCCGCTGCCACCCGGAGTAGCGCCCGTTCCATACCCGTAGCCATAGCTACATATATATACATCATGTTATTTTAAATATATTACATTTAAATAAATTCATGTCTGTATGGTTCCGACATAGAATAGGCCACCCTATATATACCCTAGGTAACGTAAGAGGCGACTAAAGACAATTAGAGGCAGAGGGATGGTCAGCAGCATCCCATTTAAAACATCTCTAAAAATCTAACTGCATTTATCAACCCGTCTGCCAAGCGTGGCAACTACTGGCAAACTCTGGGGAAATGTAAAAAAAGAAGGCTTATGTTCAGCAGTGGCTGTTACTGACTGAAATAAATAATGTTAACAGAGATTCAAAATATTATTGTCTTTCCAACAAATGACTTTAAAAAACTACAGTCAAATTTAAGAAAATCATAACGATTTAAGAGATTTTGTACACCCTTAATAGTGTGTCTTTAACTTATATTTTGAAACTGATAGCTTGGAATTAGATATAAGACATTAAAATATCATGAACATACATGCAGGACATGAACACTATTTCTATTTCTAATCTATTTAGTTAATCTCACCTTTTGAAAAAGAAATCACATTACAAAGACTCGTATCTTAATATTATTAATATTTTTATTTTATACTGAGAGTAATATGTTCTCTAAATTTATATTTATTATTGTTGGAATGTAGATATATCTGTAATTTTAAACTAATTCTCTAGTGATGGGAGACACCATTAACAAACAAATTTAAGCTGCTATATTGGATCAAATATGTTCGGAGAAATGATGAGAGTGAAACTGACCAGAATAGACTAGTAGTAATGTTTGATTACCGATTACCTAATGCAACAGCAGTCATGAGCATATTTTCGACGTAGATACATACCCAGGTTGCTGATAGTAGGGATCGTACGGCAATGGTCCCGCAGGAGTATAGGGCACCTCGGAGGTATGACTCGACGACGCAAACGCCGGTTCGCTCGTCTCACTGGTGCCGCGCGAATAGCGCTCCCTGTACCTGTCCATCGTTATTTACTTTTGTTATTATATTTGAAATTACTATAATATATCAACACTTATTAATTTAATATAGCGACAATTCGTAAAAATGTTTGCATAATGGTTTTACAATCATACATGTATATTGGGACAGAATTGAATGTAATGTGATATGAAATGTAGAAATAATTAAATATTATGAATATGACAGATTTAATTAAAAATAGAAAACTATAATTACTTATAATGGAAAGATTATAGCAATAGTACCCAACATTAGTATTCATGAATGAACTTTGTCAATTGGATAGTTTGTACTGAATTATAAAAATATTTTTTTAACTGTTTACTTTGTTAAATATTATTGCTGTATTTCAAATTGTAATTTTTCCCTTTCGATTACCCCGAAACATTTTTACCCGACCACACAATTTTATTTTTCATTCTTGACTATGGGAAAAGGAAATATTAAATAAATACAACAATTTTGTCAAGTCTTTTTGATTGAAAATTAGAAATCATACAGGTATTGTAATTACATGACAGTCGATAGTTCTTTTTGTAACTTTGCACTTATTATATAAACAAACTTGCTTTGTCAAATAGATGGAATAAAAAATATATCAACACAAGACAGTGTACCTTCGTCTACATTTCCTCTTGCATCGTCCGCTTGCGAAATAAAATTATTAACTTTTATATCATAATAATAAAAACTCCTTTAAATTGAAGTGTACAAAATATGTTATTGATCTAATCATAATTTAAAATTCTGATAAAAAAATACACATATTGACAAAATTAATGTGGCATCTATATGACATTAAAACATTTTGATTAAAAAATAATCATCAGATGTTCCAAAATTTGCTCAAAATATACACACAAAAATACAGTTTATTTGCATCCCTTTTAAAGTCAATTGAAAATAAAGAGCCACTTCTAATTTAATCTTATAAAAAAAATTGTTTAAAAATTATTAAAGGTTGTCTGTAAGAGATTGCTTTTAGCGATAAGGCCGCCTTTTGTATATGCACATTCTGTATAAATACTCCTTGTATACATGTATTTTGTGGGTAATAAAGAGTTTATAATTATTAACTTATTAACTCACCTATCTCTGTCTCTATCTCTGTCCCTGTCCCTATCTCTATCTTTGTCCCTTTCGCGTTCGCTGCGACTACGATGCCGGTGTCGATATTCGCGCTCCTCGTCTGACCACCGTGTATTGCTGTCGTTATGTTCCACATCTTTGTAGCGCGAGTACGGTTCCTTAAATAATTCAATTGTATATTAATATTAGCTTCTGCCTACAACTTTGTAAGCGTGGATTGTGGAAGTAGATAACCACTTCTAGACGGCATATTAAGACAGAACATTTACCAGATTTTAAGTTAAACCTACTCCTGTATGTCACATAAATGTAAATATGGTATATAATTTGGTGCAGTGGTTTTTGTGTGATGCTGGAACAAACATATAGACAGACGCAAAAATTAAAAAAAAAGATTGTTTTTGCTTCTATTGCCGTTATTAAAAACTTATTAAATTTTTTCTTAAATTTCTCTTATGTACAGACATAATCTAGTTACAATTTTATTATATTATTAAGATATAATATGAAAATAATAAGAAAATAAAATGTTATTAAAAATTTTAATTTAATGTAATAATAAATTGATAGATCAAAAATTCTTTGATATTTTACTAATTCAAGAATATGAACTGCTATGAATCTTTCTTATTACCTTTTCAGTTAGTTTAGTGTCCTCTAATCTTTTGCTGAGTGTTGAGTCAACTGGCAGGCGTACATCTTCGACTACAACAGGTGGCTTCACGACGGGAGCAACAGATTGCTGTCTCTTCTCCATGGTCTTTTCCTCAAACATCTCTTGACACTTTTTGCCAAATGGATCGTGAAAGACTCCTAGAACCTATTATATTTTTCTATTATTATTCATATATTAATTCAAAGTTTATTCACTTAGCTTGTTGGTTTGTAAAAATGTAAAATTATAGTCACTATCACTTTACTTACTTATTTTTACCTTTTTACTTATTCACTTTACTATCTTCATCAAGCTAAATAAAGAATTTGAATAAACAGAGATTGGACATCTTTTTCTAAACTACAATTTCTCAACAATATTAATAGTTGACAAATATCTCTATCACATCAGATCCTTACAGCTCAAAAATATTTTTATAAAATCATATATGCATTAAGCTCAACCAAATGTAAATAAAAGCTTGAAAACAGGACAGGTTGAATTGTAAATCCACAGGTAATAGCAATATAGAGTAACTTTTTATTAAACAACTTCAAATGTTTCACATCAATGACTGCACCTGGCTCAGAACCATTCTTTACAGAGAGGTGTATCAACAGAAGTGAACTGTGAATGGCTAAAATTATGATGATGATGATAAAATAGAGTGGATATAAATAATAATTATAAAAATAGTGGTTCCAATAGGGTTGTTTTTATACACATACATTTACACAATTTGTACATGTAGTCTACATAACAGTAAATTTTACTGTGTATGTGTGTGTGTGTGTGTGAAACTTAAAAGCTTTATTACTCATAAAATACTATATCTTTAAAACTTTTGTTTTATAAACCTTAACAAAAAATGTACATACCTGACCCATAACAGACTTCCCATTATATTTCTCTATACATAATTTAGAATATTTTACATCTTGAAATACTAATCTAGCAAATCCCAAGTGCCTATTTGTAATTGGATGGTAGAATATTGTCAATTCCTCATACGGTCCCACTTTGTTCATCATGTCGACCAAAAATGCTTTATCAATGTTATCATTCAAATTTGCTATAGTTATCTCTAATTGTGGAGGAATCCCTACATAATTCTTGTCTATTTTAAATCTGTAAAAAACATATATATTACATTTTTTTTTTTTATACAACTTAGAATGGCAAACAAGCTGACGGCCCACTTGATGGAAAGTGGTAACCGTCGCCTATAGACATGAGCAGTACCATGGACATAACAGAGTATACTGTTTCGCCCATGATACCCCCATGCGTTGCCATTCCTGAGGACTCAGGTGTTATTCCTCTGTACCCTGTAAATTCACGCCATATCCCACCCTTCAAACCGAAACACAGCCATGCAAACACAACTGCTTCACGGTAGAAACACGAATGGGACAGAGGTACCCAAGCAATCGACTTTTGTACAAAGTCTCCCTCTGGTAACTGGTATTACATGATCATTTTTATTAAATACACTATTAGTAGAAAGGTAGTGATCATTTTATGTCTCAGATTTTAAAATTCCCGCCAGTACAATATGTGTCAAAATTAAGTTAAGTTGGCAGCATTGTAATAGCTCTAATAAAAACAAAGTAAAATATATGTAGGTACTTGGTCAGAAATAACTAAAATTATTGTTTTATTTGCAAATATTTTATTATATGTTTAGCTCAAACCCTATCTAATATCATGGAATGTTATTGCAATGTTTCAAGAAATCTTGTAAGCTTGTGTTCATTACACAAATTAAGGTTATTTTAGAATAGCAGAAAGTTATATTTTTTTTATCATATAATGTTAGTCCTGCAATATTTTTGAGCACATAATCATAATAATTTCAGAATAGAAGTACTGATCAGTAGAATTATGACTATAAAAAAGATTACAAAATACACATAATTAGTATTGCTTTAGTCTTAAATATCAACAAGAAAATCACTACCTGGGCACTGGTAAATCAGCTGGTTCTAGTCTATTCCATATTCTCGAGAGCTGAGATCTAGGATCTCTACATTGTACTGGAGGATAACTTGGATCTCCAGGAACACATCCATCATATCTATACAATTTAGTTGCTCCTTTAACAAGGCATGGATCCATAAGCAATTTATAGTTTTTGTGTGCTTTATGAAGCACTGCGTTATGACCAGGAGTTTTATGCTCCATTCCTCCATTCATTCTGAAATATAAAATTGTTTTGTATAACATAACCTCAATTTTATACAACTAATGTTTAGATATTTAAAAAAATCGTTCGTTTATCATTTATATGATCCCAAAATCTGTAAAAAGAATTTGTTAATACACATATACACAAAATTATTACTAAAACGAACCTGAAACCTTTATAAAACAATATGCAAGAGAAATTTGTGATTTCTCGTTTTTTGACTAATACTGGCCGTATATGTCGCTCCCATGATGCCTTTTAACACGAAAGTAGTGTTTATTACAATAAACAAGCCAAAAGCTCTAGTTTCATTGAATTAATACTACAATATTGAATTTATAAGAAATATATATTGCAGGCTCTCTCCATGGTGATGATCACTTGGAAACTGTAAATTGAATGAATGGATTATAAAATAGACTCACTTCGTATAATTTTCCATGACAAAAGATTTTGAAAATGACTGTATGGTATAATTATTCTGCCATGGTTAATAAAAAATAAAATATAATTTATTTAGATGACAAACTAGCGAGTTTTTCGTTTGACTACTTGCACAATGTTTATCATAAAGTATGACAATTCTTATACATCACTGTCTTCGTAGCAAAACATAAAAAATTCTGTACTTTATGAACATAAATTATTCCTTTAGGTTGTCGTCTTGTGTAAATGTCAAAATTTATTTGCCATGTCTAAAAAAATTCCCCAATTTCTATTAGAAAATTTGTATTAGAAATAATATATTATTCTATCACTGATTGGAAGAATCATAATAATATAAAAATATATTTTAAAATTTTTAGTTACTTTACTGAATCTTTTGATTACTAAATTAAAAAATCAAAGCATACAAATCCAGGGAACTTTAATATTAAAAATGTCTTCTTAATGGGGGTACATAGTAAGTAAACTGGCAACTCACATTTATCCTACCTCATTCCCTGGTTGCATCATCGATTTTCGTAATTTACTATAAATTTATAAAAACCAAAGGTTCTTAGTAATTTATTATATAGTTAATAATAATTGAATTACATTATATATAATTGTAAATATTTATGTATCTGTTTTATTACAGATCGATAATGGCAGACAAAATAATTCCAGTAGTCAAAGCTGAGGAGGAAGAAGAGGACTTGGTCGATCCTCAGGAGCAATTACGAGTAAGTAATAATCTCTTTTGATATCTACCTATTTAAAATTTTCTATATTTTACATTTTTGAAAGTGTAATAATTTTAGTGTTCTGCACTAGGCTATATGCAAAAAATTCGATCACTGGGTATACGGGTTCAAATTTCAAATGCTTAATTTATTTTGTTAATTATCTAAGTTTCAACTATTTTATTTGTTTTGTAGTTCTGTAAAGTCAATATACAAGTAATTTGTATTTTTATTTGTTTTCTTTTTTATTGTAGAGTTGTCTTTACAGCATGCTGATTCAAATCGTTTTGGAAAATAATAAAAAGGTTCTTTTTTCCTTTTAATATTTGGATATTATAATTGTAAGATTTGTGGATTAATTAGACTGTATATTATTATAATAACTATTAATTAGTTTTATGTACATTTGTATTAGGTAAATTTGAATTATGTTATTATATTTGAAAATCCCGTACTTCGTTCATGTAATGCTGAGAATTGTAGTATTAATTGTTATATATATTAATAATATTTCTATATTGATATCATAGAACCTTGTATATAGATGCAAATGAATTTGACATTGTGCTTGGAATACTTTTTACCAAAATTATTTTTTATACTCTCTAACTCCAAAATATTTATCCAAAGTCTCCAATTCTTCATTTCTATAATATGTGCATAAGCAACTCTAAAATATTCAACAAAATAATGGTTCTAGCCTTAACTGTATAATATTGAATCCTTGCCTATAACTATAATATAGGGTAATTTTGTAGTGTTGATAAATCAAAATGCTATTTTGATATTTTATCATAAAAGTAACTTTAGACAATTATTTGTAAGATAGTATTATTAGTTTAAAACCAAGTTTTTAATAGATATTATATCTACTTATTTTGGTTGCTCAATTTGATTGAAAATGCCATAATTATCTCAAAATATACTTACATATAAACATGGATATAAAAGAGACGTGTAATGAAGCAAAAGTTTACATAGGTGGTAAAATACCACAGTATGTATTTTGAAAAAAAAAAAATCATTATCAATAAATACTATAATAAAAATAATAGAAATAGTTCACAACATCAAAAAGCTTCACAAGGCTTTTGTAGAAACAGGACTTTCTATTCAAGGGAAAAAATCTATTGTTGTTTATAAATCGAGCTTTATCTATTTTATTAAATATCAAGAATCTGAATCTGTATTCGAGTTGATGGCCCATGTGATATAAAGTGGTAACCATCACCTATAAACATAAGTCAATACACCATGGGCATTAACAAATATCTTGTAATGTCCATAGTATCCACCAGGTATTGGCATTCTTGGGGACTGCATACAGCTGTTTTATGGCAGAAATACAATAGGGATAGAGGTATAATATAAGCAGACAATTTTTGTATAAAGTTTCCTTCTGGTAGACTTTATGTGTAGTAATCCATGATCTCTTTTACCGCACAAAAAAAAATAGTGTTATTCTTTATCTTTGAACCTTAAATATATAGAAAAATGTGGGTCACGTTTGTAAAATGAGTTACAATAGCACTTAATTTTTATAGTTTGAAATGATATATGCTATCTATTGTCCTTGAAATTATGAGTGTTGTTCATAAACTATTTATAAATATATTTTATATCATAAATCATAAACTATTTGTAACTATTTATAAATATAAATTCAACTTTTGTTGAAAAAGGCAACACTTAAGTTTCTTGCTTATTTTTCTCAACTGAAATTGCATTCAGAATAGACAGTAGAATCATAAAAAAAATGACTGTTCATAAAGAAAAATGAATGAAAATACTTGTAATTAAGTTTACTTGAATTAAAAAATATTATAATAATAAATGTTAAATTTATATTATAAAATAATCTTGTTGTTATTTACTTTTTATTTTAAAATTATCATTATCCTCTTTCAGGAAGAGTGCTCTCAAAAACCTGACGCGCAAAACTTATGGGGCAAGTACCAGGAGTGCAATGACCGTGTCAACTCACGATCTAAAACAGCTGAGACTTGTGATGAAGAACTAATTGATTACCTCCATGTCCTTGACAAATGTGTTAGCAAAGACCTGTTCTCAAGGCTAAAGTAATATAGTAGTAGCTCTTTTTAAGGTTTAGTTCTGCCTTGAAATAAAATCATTGTAACAGAAGGTTATTACCATACATTTTGAAAGGTAGAACTATAGTGCTGGTTAGTAAATTATTTAATATGTACCTTACAAGTATAACTAAAAAATTGAAAGGATTTGTTGTTGTTGATTTGTAAATAAATAATCAAAATAATATATATGACATTTTATTTTATTTATTGTATGGAGATGTGTTTAAAACATTAAATAAAAAAAATGTTTCAGAATACATTTTTATTAAAAGCAAATACATATTTTAATTAAATAACACTTGGCTGCAGTGGAAAATTTAATATTTAAAGTAATAAGGAATGGCACTACCAATTCATAAATCAATACCTACTATTGCCAACTATTACTAAACAGAATAAAGATCACAGAAGAATAGTTTGTCCCTAAAAGTTATGTAAATAATAAATCTTAATTTCATATATAAACAAAATATTCGTACTATACTCTCTACACCAAATATAGTTTATCTCAGGTCTATCTTCGATGGATAAAGTTTATAATAATAAAGAAAAAATAATTTTAAATACTGACTAATACTAAACAAATTTTGGAATGTTTTAATAATTCAAATGCAAAATAATATAAATAAAAATTAAACAGCATATTATATCATTTACCTACATACCTATTTAACAACCAAACCAAGAGGAAATGCAATTTTACGTGTACTGTCATAAACATATTTTACATGCAGCAGAACTAAATGGTATGATTGAAGAAATATATATTTACTGCATTTCCTTAAAGTCAGATATACAGGATTTTCAGTCATCTCGACAATATTTATATAAGTTACCTTATCTATTTTCGTTTAATTACAGAACATACAAGTCTCAAATAACTTATGAAATTCAAAACACATCTCAGAAAATCAAAATCTCAAATATATAAATTCCAAAAGGTGAGTTTATCGAGGAAATTAATATTATATTAAAGTATTCCATAAACTCCCGTAAATAAAAATCATATACTGTATAATTTATTGTACTAATTATAGTAGAGAAGAAGCGTCATATAGAATCGGCACGATTTATGGTCTCTGGCTACACCAATAGACAGACAAATTTTGAAAAAATTAAATGTATATAGTTATCGATTCTTGATTTCATTATCGTATACCTATTATTTACTATTTTCTCTAAGCGAATTAAATCAAATTTGAATACGAGTTATAAAGTATTCTACGTTTGACGAATATCAAATATTATTTTGAAACTTGTATGATCTGAGATTAAACATCGTAATTTTATGACTATGCAATACAATTCAATGTCTATAAAATCTTATACCTAAAGTATTAGAAATTGACAATATATCTAAGCAATGACGTGGATACATGAAGAAAACAAAATATAATGAGCATTAATTCTAAATGACTAATTGTCTAACATATTTAATTTCTTGCAAAACAAATATAGCTATATAAAATTATAACTAAATTATTACAAAATCAACTTTAATAACAATATCAGGAATATTGTGACCCCATGACATCAGGCACCGATATTGGTCACCTTTACGTTACCAATTTTATTGTCCATTAAAAAATAGGTGAATCGTTACGGATCCATTTCTTCTGTTGACCGAAGAAACTAAACTGCCAGAGGACCAATTCTGGTGTAATTCCCGTGAAAACTAAAATCAGATTGGGAGCTAGTATGATACGTAAATAGGAGTCCGCTCCCTAATCCATAGTTCCTTCTAATGTAAATGGTGTTTTTTATCAAACAACATCCAGACTTTGGCTTTTTTCTACACAACATTTAATGAAATATATGGACAGTTGAGGCACTGAACTCTTGTTCCTATTCTAACGGATGGCTTAAAGGTTTAGGCATTATAAGTACACGTTAAATTCTAAAGAAACAATAGCCGTCAGTCATTAAATATAGCTAAGTATGAAGCTCTCAAATGTACATGAACACGAATACTGTTAACAAATGCGAATTATCAAAACACAGCAAAAGTATAATGAAATTAAACAGCAGTTGTAATTAGTGCGCATGTACCAGAAAATACATATAAGACATTCAATATAATGAGACTTTCCACAGTGAAAACAAAAAAAATAAAAAATAAGTAATATTGTAAGGGAATCGCTACTTCGGATTATTTTTAACAGATGGCTTTGTAGGTGACATGAAGATTACCAGGACAACTAGTAAATAAATAAATATAAAGCCTGTGTAACAATGTCTCTTATATACTGTGGCATTTTTTTTGCTTTTTATAAAAACAATCCCGGTCAGTGGCTCGTATAATATTAACAATGTTCGTATTCATGTATAGGTACTGCTACCCGAGTCCAATAAAATTATAATCTGATACTGACTACACACTAATATGTATATAGAATATTTATAGTATAAATTACGTGTACGCTATACACAATTACATTTTTTAGTACTGGAGGCCTACTGTGTTATTCGAATAGATCTCGACAAAATGACTCGACATAATGAAAGCTTGTAAAAGCTGTATTAAAAAATCAATACTTTTCATACAAAAAGAATAATAAGACGCCAATTCAACGGTAACTATCGTACCCGTCGAATTTCTACTTATGAAGCAGGCCTCCACTTTATTTTTGCGTCCAAATATTAGTTAATTTAATAATAGTAATAAAATTACTATAAATGTTTACATAACGTTATTGTGACCATACATTTATAAATATACAATGTATAACTAAATTTAAAAAGAAAATGTAACAAAATTAAACAATTTACACATTATTGCTGTCATAGCCAGTAACTCATCCGTACTCGACTCTACGTTTTAGTTTACAATATGACATCGCTGAGCTCTCATACAAAATATGAGTATATCACACCCTATTAATGCTTTGTTCGCCATGTTTATGGAGACATTACTAACTGGCGCCAACCTGTAGGACGTTGAAGCAAATCTCGCACACTCGCTGAGGTTTATTCATACCAAACTTGAGGATTGGGACATCTTGGCTGGAACATTTGTTGCATAGCATCCTACCACAGTGACGACTGTAACAAATTAAGTTTACATTTATAAAGCCCTTTTATCTATTTCTAGAATGAATCCATTCCAATTCATTCTACAAAATTCGTCTATACAAATATGAAATTATGGGTAAATATCTAGGTGGTACACAAACCGCTTCTCCCCTCTTTCAGTTACAAACAAAATATCGAGATTTCAACAGTAGAAAAACATTAAAGATAATAAATAGGACATTTATTTAATGCGGACTTTATTCTTAAAGATAAGAAATACTGTATTCATGATTTTTTAAATATTCTTTACCTCATTTGGGCCTCGAACCTGATAAGTATGGTAGATAAATAATTAAACTATATTGATCAATTTATTTTTATTAGCTATGCTTGTAATATAGGACTACTAAAGATACTGCCTTAATCAAATAGAGACATATAAGAATTCAGATTTACCAATGATGCTTTCGCATAGTAAGCGTGAATTTGGTGCCGCATTCCTGACACAGGTCGCTTTCAGCCCACGGAGCCTCTGCTGGCAGCGCATCAAGGAGTCTATGTAACAGCTGCTTTGTGGCAACCTGTTTAATAATTCAAATATCAAAATAATGAATGTATAGTTACGTAATAATTAATGATTGTGTTCCACAAAAAATCTACTTCAATTGTAACAAAATCAGTTATAATGATCTAAAAAATAAACCACTGCACCGATTTCGATAAAATTTCTATGGGACCAATCTGTAAGTATATCCTTTCAGATAATAAAAAAATTTTCCAAATCGGTTAAGAACTGACGAGATTATTAGATAACAACCATAAAAACAATATAACCGAATTAGAAACCTCCTTTTTTAAGTTGATTGAAAATTGAATTAGAAATACTCGTATTTGTCTTAAATTTCTTTAGTCCAATTCTGGTTGCAAACTGGAAGTGTGATGATACCGTCCAATGTTCCAAACATTGGATGATATCATCACACTTCCAGTTTGCAACCAGAAGAATGAGCAAAAAGATATCGTCAATCACAATAAAAAAAGTTAAGGAGCTCAATTTCATTACTAAATAAACTGTCAATAAGAAACAAACTAATACTGAATAAAAAAAAAAAAGTAATTATTTATTGTAGAACATAAAAAAAAAAAATCAAAGACAGAACATCTGTTTTTAAGTCAGTAAATGTCACGCTTGACTTTCACATTATTGTTGCAGAATGTATATTTTATATTATTGTATTGAGACGGGATATAAGTACCTGATAGTTGAATATGGAGATTCCCTCCTTGTTCTCCTGCGCGAGGCAAGCGCCGGCGCGTACAAGCACGCGGCACATGGCGGCCTGCCCATTCATGTACGCCAGCAATAACGGAGTATTGCCCTGGGAGAAGTCACAAGTCATTCGTAGGGAACATATATAAGTTACAATGTGGTAATTTATACTTATAATAAATATGTAGAGGTCAATTCTGTACATGAAATATATTTCCAAAATAATTATCAGAGGGTGATTAGTGATCGATACTAATGCCAAAAATGCAATCAGTAAAATTTTTGTCTGTCTGTTCGTTATAGAAACAAAAACTACTCGACGGATTTTAACGAAACTTGGTACAATTATTATTCATACTCCTGGGCAGGTTATAGTATACTTTTCATCACGCTACGATCAATAGGAGCAGAGCAGTGAAGGGAAATGTTAAAAATGTCCACCCGTGCGACGTCGGGACGGGTGGACATTTTTAATATTTCCCGGGGACATTGTTTTTTCAACATGTTGTAGTACTAACATAAGTTGATAACACTGCCCCATAAATGTATTAGTGGCTAGGAGTTGTCACTAATGGAGATGTTACTAATATGAATAGAATAGAATTTAGGTGATCGAGATGAAACTGAGTATACAACTGAAAATAAGTATAAATAATACTGCGGATTCATTTATCATAAACAACAACAATCCAACAATCTGTGCACATTGTCTTAAATAAAAAGAAAAAATATATCTATGTAAAATAATATGTATTTTTTGTACAAACTAATCATAATTATACTTTACACGAAACAGTTGACAGGTGGAGTTCAATAACCTTCCTATTTTTATTTATAATGTAGTGCGCTAACCAAATCTACATAATGCTCATTCAAATTAAGCGTTTACACTTTGGCGCCCAACGTGGACTATCAAGATATTTATTCAATAGTATAAATTCTTGCATTTTTAAATTTTTACATAGAGTTTACGTAATGTTATTTTAATACTAGACCATAAATTTGAATAACAAAATAATTGGTTTAAAAATAATTTGTATAGGCATACCTGTAAATCTGTTTTGTTGATGGGATAGTCAGGCATAAATTCTAGGAATATTTCGCATATTGTCGCCGCATTATCTTTTTTACACCAGCATAATTCATGTAACGGATTCCGACCTGTTAGACAGAACATATTATGTAATATTAAGATTTATTTAATGAAATGTTTTTGGAAGTTATAAAATTTAACGACAGTGACTCAGTAGGTAGTGCAGTGTTATAACACACTGCTTCCTTTTATGACAGTTACGGATTTGATCTTCGAATAATACAAACATTTGTTTATAAGTGTTTTCTATGTATAATTTGTACTTATTTATTTAAAAAATATGTCTTAGTCGTATAGTCTTCATAGTACAAACTCTGCTTAGTTTAGAATCAGTGTCGTTTACATATTAAATATGTACATTATATTAAACATGGCACGACGACAGTGATGTGCCCTTACAGGTTACAGGTGACTGTAACCACTGGTCAAGTTTTTACTTACTAGTGGGAGACTGTACAATTGGTTGGATAAATATGTCCCATTCGTGTTTCAACCGTGAAGTAATTGTGTTTGCATGGCTATGTTTCGGTTTGAAGGGTCTGATATGGCAGTGAGTTAGGGTACAGAGGCATAATACCTTAGTCCTCAGAAATGGCAACACATAGGAGATATCATGGGCGAAACAGTATACTCTGTTATGTCTATGGTACTGCTCATGTTTATAGGCAACGGTTACCACTTTCCATCAGGTGAACTTACATTTTTATGAATTATTATTGAATTATTAATATAGGTTTATTAGCCTTAATAATAATATGAAGTGGGCGAGAAATATAAGAATCATGAGAGAAACAGTATACTTTGTTATGGTCCATGGTACTGTTCATGTGTATAGGCGACGGTTATTACTTATCTCCATCAGGTGGTTTGCCATTTTAAGTTGCATAAAATAAAACCTTTGAGGTTGGCGGCGGCGGCGTCGACGTCGGTGTCGGCGAGCAAGGCGCGCGCGGCGGCGGCGTGTCCGTCGCGCGCGGCCACGTGCAGCGCGTTGTCGCCGGCCGCGTCCACCGCGCCGCACTCCGCGCCGCCGCTCACCAGCGCCGACACGATCGCCGCCTGCCCCGCCGCCGCCGCCACGTGCAGCGCCGTGCGCCTGCGCACAATCAATCATCATTTGCATTATCCGTCCTATACTTAAAATTATGTTTGTTTATGTTTATGTTTACCTTAAAAAATGTTGTTTATGTTTAACTTAAAATTATGTCCGGATATGAATTTTTATAGAAAATAGTCATGTATATGTATTTAAAATTGAATTTTTGCTTGTCTTACTACCTAGTAGGAGCATCAGAAATGTATAATTTCTTTTGAACGTATTTGCCTCATTTCAGCCATTATACGTCCACTATTGGACATAAGCCTCCTCCATAGACTGTCATAAAGAACGGTCCTGAGCCACCTGTATCCACTGACTCCCTGCAACGCATTTCAGGTTGTCACTCCATCTAGTGGAGGGTCGTCCTACCTACACTGCGTTTGCCCGTACGTGGTCGCTACTCAAGAACCTTTCTTCCCCATCGATTGTCGGTTTTTCGAGCTATGTGACCAGCCCATTGCTACTTCAGCTTGCTTATCCTTGCTATCTTTATGTATAATGAATGAATGAATGAATTTATTGCTAAAATGTAGTACAATAAGTGGTGGTACAAAATGTGATGGTGTACAAGGTGTGTAAAATGTAGTACAACAATACACACAACCCTCACCTTAGCTCCATCGCGAGCATACAACGACGATGTTCGGGGGGAAGGAGTATTTGTAACGGCTACTAACATCTTAATAAGCTTTTAGCTTTTACCTTTTAGCTAAAACCAGGTGCTCCTGGTTTCAGCTAAAAGGCGTCGTAGTTTATCCTATGTAAATTAGTCACTATAGGCCAACTGACATGACTTTATCTACATCTATCACAGATGGCAGCACATATACCAACGCGTAGATGGGATAATAATAATTCGACTATCATCAATTAAAAAGACAATTATTACTTTATATCAGTCGTTCACTCTCTACTGCTGAACATTGACTTCCCCCATATGAAGGGTTTTGCAAATAGCTGTCACGCCTGGCGGACGGCTTCACAAATACAATTAGGCTTATCCCTCGACTATTAAGTTCCCTTAGTAGCCTCTTATGACACCCACGGGAAAAGAAGGGGTGACTTATTCCGTGCTGGGACCACCCAGTAAGGAGTTTTGTCTCTTTAGTTTAGCATAAATTCAGGGTTCGGATATTTTTACTAGATCTATATATATATATATATATATTTACTAGAATATAAGAGTCTCATATAATTTATACTCCCAGCTGCCTTATTTCAATATGTATAAAGAAGACGATTTACCAATTTCTCATTCATAGTAAGTTTTGGGTATTATTTGACAATCATTGATATTTAAATCAATAGACGATTTAAATTCATAAAGAAAAGACTTACTTGTGGGCGTCCCTGTCATTGGGCCTAGCGCCGGCAAGCAGTAGACTCCGCAGAAGCACTTCGTTACCGGCAGCAGCCGCCAAATGCAAAGGCGGCGCTAGTGTCGCATCTTGTACACGAGAATTTACATCTACCTCCACCGATAAAAGGAACATCACGCTTTCCATATCACATTTTTGGATGGCCACGTGAAGGAAGTTGCGACCCTTTTTATCGACCTGTGTGAAAAAACACATAATTTAACTGTGTAATTGTTGTTTTGTTTAGAGCTTTAAATTAAAAATTACTCAAACTGACAAAATATGTCAATAGCTAAAATAAATAATAATATCTATTAGTCGTTTAATTTCTTTATCAATAACAGAATTAGTAACAGTTTAGTAACAGTTAAAAGATACCTTATAATTTGGAATGTGTTCCATCTAATATATATCAAATTTCATTAAAATCTGTAGTCATAAATATGATTACATATCTACAGAAACTAACAGTACTATTATAGATAAAAAAAACAAACTAAGAGAACTATCATCAACAAAATCAGACATTTTAAGGAGTCTACGTAAACAAAACAATAACTGGATAGAATTTAAGGAAACTTTATAAATGAATAGAAATGAAAAAGGAAAAATAGGAACCTGCTCTTCATATTCTAAATACAGTATCGAGACTTCACGTGATAAAAAATCCTGTCGTGACCACGACGTGGTTTAATCCACGTCTAAACATCGGCAATAAAGAAGCAGGTGTGTAGGTACTATTTACTTGCAAAAGTTTTTCATCACTCTAAGTTTCGATAGTATTTAAGACCTATATTGTTACAACATGAAATAGCAATAAATGATTGAATAGAATTGAATTTAAAATGTATGTAAACAATACGAAAGTTTAAAATTACCTGCTCAGCAGCCGATGGATTCTTCTCCAGTATAGACTGTGCAGCCTTGTTGTTCTTGGCGGTGAGCGCCGCCGCGAACGGCGACACACCTTTGTTGTCGCGCGCAGAGAGATCGATGCCCGGGTGAGACAACAACAGCGAGATGATGCCCGCGTGCTGGTTCTCTATCGCGATGTGTAACGGTGTTTTGCCTTCCGCGTCTTTTGAATTTATATTGGCACCGTGTTCTAGAAGAGTCTACAATAAATAATTATTTATTTAAAATACATATAAACAGTTCAGTTTTAGCATAAATTTAATATTTTTTTAAGAAATTTAGGCGTAAAATAATTATGCCTACACATTTTCATTTGTCTATTATTTTTTCGCATATCTGAACTCAAATTTATATAAACTGTTATAGGATATAGATATAAACTATGTATAGTACTTTACAATTGTATACGTTTTGCATCCATAATTTTATCATGAGAGAATTCGTTTATAAATTAAAAAAATAACAACCTTGGTGATGTAGCGATTTAGGAGATTACCTATTCTCCGATGGTCGCGGGTCTGATCCTCGTATAACATAAACATCCGTATTCATAAGCAAGTATGTCACTTCGCGTTGATTTGAGTGTTTTAATGTATGATATGTATTTATATAAAAAAGTATATATAAGTTATTTAGTAAAAATATTACAAGCTCCGTTTAGTTCGGTACTAGATGGTTCTATGTAATATGTCCAGTGGTATTTATGATATTATTAATTGCATGCATGCATTGGGAGTGGATCCCGATGAGTACGGCGGACCTGTATGACGTCGACGAGCCCCCAGGTGCAGCAGAGATGCAGCGGCGCGTGGCGGTCGGCGGCCACGTCGGCGCCCTCACCGGCCGCGCCCGCGCGCCGCGCCGACTCCACGTCGCAGCCCGACCGGATCAGGAACGTCGCCAGCGACTCCTTGTTCTCGTCTATCGCCCTACACCACACAACGCGCTCGGATCAGTCGCCTGCTGTACCCAGTTACACCGTCCCAATAGCATACGTGTTTGACATACATACGTAGACCTATAAAATACTTCAAAAAACGGGTCAAATTTTTCATACAATTTTGCATGATAAATAGTTATGAGTGATTCCTTTATAATATCTATAGTTATTTTGTCGTATAATTTCTGCATATTTTTAATGCATATACACAAATTTTATTTATTAAATAATACGTCAAGACACATTGTATACGTAAGTATATAAAACATTGATAAAAAAACGAGTCAGTTAATTTGACAATTAGCTGACAAAAAGTTGACCCGTTTTTGAGGCTCGACGCTCTATCTATATAATCTAAGCGTAGAGCGTACGTTGGCGATAACAAAGGGCCACTGTGACCAAATGTGTATATGACGAGCTAAGATTGTGGTAAACTGTCGACCTAGCATCATCTTCTTCCTGCCTTTATGCCGATTATTCGGCGTCGGCATAATATATTTTTATTATATTACACAAAGATTTAGCTTTCGGTTTTATCTAGCGTCAACCCTCCTTGGGAATACATTTGTTGGTAGCATCCATCACTTGTACCATAAATGATGGATGCTACCAACATTTATGGTATAAGTGTTGGTAGCATTTAGGCGACGGCTACCACTTTCCATCAGGTGGGCCGTCAGCTTGTTTGCCATTCTAAGTTGTATAAAAAAAACATTGTTTTACGATTACTATCTGAGTTTCAGATTGAAACCTTTTCAATTCAACTTCGAAAGTTACAATCATAAAATTAAAATTTGATATTTTATTAAAAAATGTTAATGTCAAAAATTCTATTTAAAAATAAATGCAAAATCTTACTTGTGTAATAATGTTTGTAAACAACCATCCGGTCCGGGCCCCCAACAATCGGCATCCGCTCCATTTCTCACCAAAATCTACAGGCAAAAATATATTCTCAACAATGGAATACCGCAATGCAAAATGTACTTTAGGATGAGAAATTAAACTCCAACTTACACTAGCCACTTCTTCCTGGCCGGAGTCGAGAGCAGCCCATAGAGGCGGTACTCCGTTGGCGTCGAGGCGACTCATGTCTACGCCTCGAACGCATAAAGCTTCGACGACTAAACCTAAACGGCAATGTATTGCCAGTTGAAGTGGAGTTTCACCAGCTTCCGTTCTGCGAAATTTCATAAATCGATATAATATTGATACACCGACAACCTTTGGAGGAAGTACTGTAAAATTACTATTTTTTGCATTTTTCATTCTACAAGGTACAACGATATCAATATAACGAGCAAGTCAGAACTTCAACTGTAAGATATCGTCGTATCTAAAAACTAAGGTGTTACATGTTTTAACTCAGATTGCTGTGACTGTTACATACAGCAGTTAGATTCCAGGCAAGTCTCAAAACTCACTTTCCATAATACCACGAACAAGACCTAACTTTACATATTAAATTATAATTTATTGGCAAAATGTTGAAATATAGAGTCACAAATTTAGAGTAGGTATGAATTTGGAGACAGATATGTTATTTGTTGAGTAGAGGGCCGCTTTAGTGTTTAGTTTTTATTTCCTACTCAGAAAGAGTGACAATAGATAATTGACTCTACGATCTATAAAAATAAAAGTGAAAATCGGGTACCAACGCTATTTACGAGTATCTCAACATGCATATGCATGCAAAATAAATATAAAAGTTGTAAACACTACTCACAATGCGTTCATATCAGCTCCATGGTCCAATAAATAGATGGCGGTTTTAGAATCCTCTTCTACAATGGCTTGATGGAGCAGCGTGAAGCCTTTACCATTACGAATGTTGGGATCAGCGCCCCCCTCAATCAGTGGCGCTATTAAGTGCTTGTGACCTGAGTAGTAGAAGAATATATTATTCTTATATTATGTACTATTTATGTACTAGCATTTTTCCGTAATTCACACACGTGGAATTTAAAAATAGGAAATCCAAAGAAAAATACCACTTTTAAATGATATATCAAGATAAAACATACGTCAGTTTTTAAGTGAGACCTTCAAGAATACAATTTGGAGTAGTAGTTTTTGCATGATGCCGAAACAAACATACAGACTAACAAAATCTCTAAAAAATATAAATTTGTCATCTATTGGTCTTATTAAGATCCCCATATTACTTTTTTTTTAATATCTCCTACGTACAAACAACATCTAATTACAATTTATTAGATTAAATAGATTACATTGATTGCAGGTATTTTATGGAGTCAGTAGACGCAAATGGTCAGAACCATCTCTATGGCTCTATACTCAGCCAATAGTATATTCTGTGGTATAGCTATGAACAACTAACGGCTGGGTAATGATTAAAAAGAAAATGAATAAAATTTACTCACATTCACCCAACGCAAGGCTCACAGGTGTATCTCCTTCAGAATTCTTCAAGTTCAGATTAGGTAGGAGACTGACATTGTTACGGTCTGTCGCTGGATACTCTCCCTTCTCCACCAATTTCTTGTGTTCCAGAATAGCCATTACCGCACCTTCGTGGTTATTGTATACAGCTAAATGAAGGGGTGTTTGTCTGAAATTAAATATTATGTAAAATTATATTTTTATCTTCACGCCAATTCCCACGGGTTTTTTTTAATGGACGATAATGGAATAGTAGCCCTGCCTGCGATAACGGTATACGCTGGCGGAGCACCAGTGAGGGATGATAGGTGAGAATAAAAAATAATTGACATGAGTTAGCCAATCGTGATGAATACACCTTGTATTCGGCACGATGGTTTCCAGAGGGGACCACGTGAACGTCGACCTGACAGGGTGTATTATTAGCAATGGAAATGATAGTCCGCATTACTAATAATCCCTTTCCCCCAAATCCCACGGGTTAGATTGGGATCCTGCTTAATATTATTTGGTATTTCTTCTTAAAATTCTTCGCAAGGTGCTACCCAAGGAGCATCTATACACAATGTTTCAATTAATTTAATTTAAATGAATTAATTCCTAACAGTCAATTTGATTTTCCAAAAGGGCGATCAAGGTCTATGGTCAGCAATGGCCAAGTGATAATTAATGGTTGGTATGATATGATGAAAGGGCGATCAACTACGAATGCAGGTATGAAGTTATTAAGGCATATTTTTGCTGCCAGGGAAAACAAGTGTATGCAGGGTTAAGGGTAGTTAATTTTAAACAGTATACAATTTATTCTATTTAAATTCATGAATCACTTAAAGAGAAATTTATAGAAGTAAATATTCTAAATACTCTATCGGAACTTAACACGATGAAAAACATTTGCAGGTAAATAGTACCTACATACCTGCTTATTTATTGCCGATATTTCAACGTGGATTGCACCACGCCGTGGTCACGACAGGGATATGTGTTAACAACACGAAAGTTTAAAATTAACTATTCTCACTATAGTTTCACAATACATATATGCAAACATTTTATATATACGCAGGAATCTTAATCAATAATATTAATACTAGATACAGGTATAAACTTGCTGTTCTTGCTTGCTGAAGTGTCGTTTATACAAAATTTATAAGTCTTTTATGGGAATGAACATAATTTTTTTTTTCAAAAAATTTCAACTGTGAAGAAGTTGTGTTTGCATGGCTGTGTTTCGGTTTGAAGGATGGGATATGGCGTGAATTTACTGGGTACAAAGGAATAACATCCGAGTCCTCAGGAATGGCAACGCATGGGGGGTATCATGGGCGGAACAGTATATTCTGTTATGTCCATGGTACTGCTCATGTCTATAGGCGACGGTTACCACTTTCCATCAGGTGAGCCGTCAGCTTGTTTGCCATTCAAAGTTGTAAAAAAAAAATATATAATCCGCAAGATACATCCTTCGGTACCCTTGGGATCTATCTTTAAAATAAATTTAAACCGGTTATTAAAAAACACTTACTGAACAAAACCAAGTAATCGTTTAGTGTGTAATAACACTAAATGATTACTTGAATGATAAACATGCATGGGATCAATTATGTGTAGGCTAAATGACCATGTTAGTTTAAGTGTTTAAATAAACATTAATATTGCTAACTACCGACCCGCCCTGGCGTCGTGTGGGTGTAATATTTATTTGTGTAACTTTTAAACTATTCAACACGTTTTAGTAAGGTTGGTATTTTTTTCATGTCTGAAAGTAATAAACTAATATTTTCTAAGATTATAAAACAGCCTATTAACAATTTGAAGTGAGTGCGTTTCTATAGTTCTTCCTGCGCTTCTCACCTCCGCGCCGTGACTACTATTCTCGCACGGCCAGCAGCAGCGACATCCCAATAATTTTACCGGTTTATTGTTTTATTATATTGCATTATTTTCTGAGCAACTGCATCAATTAATATGCTGTAAAAAGTAACTTTTATCTCCATGAAATGTCATTTTAATTTAGCTATTTGTTTTATAAGAATTTGTAATGTATACTCATGTATATTTTCACATAACCTGCATCCAAAAGTAATGTACAATTTATTTTACTTTTAACAAAAAACAATTTTATTTAGTTGATATATTAAATTTAGACATATAGTGTCAAGGACTTTTTTGTAAAGCTAAATATAATTAATATTTTTGCTATAGATTTTATTCAATTATTTCAAATCATTCAAGTAACGCACACCATATTATAAATGACGATAATACAAAACAGCTTGTAAACTTGTTGAATAAAGATGATTTATAACTTGTATTTGAATAGAGGTTTATATTCACCAGTGATAAAAACATTGAGTAATTGTGATTATGATAATTTAAATTTAAATTATATTTTAATTTTTATAATTAAATCGTTTCATAAATATAGTTTAAGCACAAAATGCCTACTTGATGTTCACAACAACGGATGTTGCGGTAATAAAAACTTGTAAATATGTGTCGTAGTAGTTTTTACTCTAAAATAGTAGCTCTATAATAGGTTGTCACTTATTGCGTGAAAATGCTGATAAATAAACAAATTACAACTGGATTAAATAAAATCATAAACTTGTTTAATATATTTTATAACATATTTTTTTTATATATAGCAAACTAGCGACCTGCTCTGGCTTCGCACGGGTGCACACTACTCATCACATTATATATTTAAGGGTTATGCGTACATAGGGACGGACAGACAGCGACAGCGACTTTATTTTATACTATGTAGTGATAAATATTTGATAAAAGTAACATTTGTGATCTCAGTAGTATTTCAGTAGTTTAGTACTCTGCCTACCTCCACAAGGGACTTAACATGATAGATAGAATTATGTTCATTCAGACAGGATATGACCCTTACTACAATTTCATCTTTAGCTGCACAATTCTCTCCCTCGAACCATCTATAGTTTTTTTGTATCTTCTCAAAAATTAACTTAGGAGATTCCTCTATGGGATAAGTCCACCATTACATGTTATACATTTTTCATATGGCCAATGTAAAATATGTGCAATAAAGATTCACGAAAACAACAACAACTATCCCTGTACTCATTGGTGGTTTGTGGTCAAATGTTGAGTTCAGTAAAAAAAATTACCTATAAACAGTGTCCTCTTGTTCGCCATAAGCGGTCTGCATGTTTGGCCGAGCACCGTGCTCCAATAGAGCAGTGGTGAGTCGCGCCAGACCGTTGGCGCACGCCGCATGTAGGGCCGTCAGACCCGCTTCGTTAGCGTGATTCACTTCCCCATTCAAGTGCGTTGTTAAAAATACGGCAGAATCCTATGGAAAACAATATTTCTTATTCATCGGTAGTCTATTGATCTTTATACCTATATGAAAATATCAGTACGCTAGATAAGACTTTACATGTTTTTTCAAACAATATAAGTACATTCTTAGTAGCAAGTTAATTTTTAAATAATTATGAGAGGAGTTGTAATAGAATAGAAAAAAAATAACATCAATGTTGTAGAAGTCCTTTTTTTTATTGTTTGGCTTTTTGAGTCAACACTATATTATTACTTTTTTTTTATTTTAAAAAGAAATATCATACCTACATAAAACGAGAAAATAAGCAAATAGCATTTTGTAGTTCCTATAATAAAATATTATAATCAGAGTTATTCTATATTACATTTCGAGCACTTATTGAATTTCTGAAATAATAAAATATTCAAGTTGTAATAATTAAAGTATATATAAGTATTTGTAAGTTAATAAAATTATTAACTTATTTTAATCCAAAGCGAATTATCTTTGCTCGTAAAGATTTAAATACATTATACAACAATTTTAGGAGTGAACATTATACATTGATAATCATAATAAAAATTTTGAGCACAAGGTTTGCAATTAACCTCGAAGTAGAGTTTTAATGCTATGCATAATTTATCAGATATAAAGGTTAATTTAGAAGATTAAAAATTCTGTTATTACCTCAAACCATCCAAGTGCTAATATATGCAGCAGGCTATCACCGGATCCTGAATATTGTGGATTTGGTTGGCATCCCTTAGCTAACAATTTAGCAGCGAACCCTCTTTCGACAACACTTTCAGTTTTATCTTCCACAGGATCTTCAGTGAAGGCATTTTTATTCGTAACAGGGGTATCAAACGGGTTAGATCCATTCATGACTAAAGTTTCGCTTGATGAGATCGACGCGCGTCTATCGTCAACAAGCGCATAGTACAAGGGCGGGTTTTCGTCTGTTAGAGTCCGCAAATTTGTGTCTAAATTTGGTTGTTTAAGTAACAATTCAAATATTCGTTGATTTCGAGCTATCACTGCTTGATGTAGGGGTGTGCTAAAAAATAATTCATTTATTTAAAAAATATAAAAAAACGTAAACTATAAAACCTATATATATTATAATAATATAAAATTAGTAGTAAAATAATAAGTATTGACACTCACAATCCTTTTTTGTTTTGTCGGTTTATATCAGCATTTTTCTGAACCATTATATCTGCGACCTCCGCCATTTGCTCCATTGTATCTTCATCACACGAGCTCGATGTTAACCCAGCTATAAGGTGCAGTGCTGTGTCTCCTTCTTCTCTGTAGAAAAAGTTATATAACTATTACTAGATAGTTATTTTCTCCATCAGTATAGCTTTTGACAAATAACATATAATCCTTAACTAATATTATAAATGAGTAAGCGAGTTTATTTGTTGCTTTGTTACTCCCGGCCAGTGTATATATTTCAGTCACACGGATGAAGTTGCGGGTAAAATCTAGTAATTTATAAGTGGTCGTAGTTAAATTCCTTATATAATGACATGATCATTATAGAAGCAACAAATTATATGGAATAACAACATATTATATAGCAGTAACTACATGTATTTAAAATATTTATGTGTTAGCAACATTTTTTAGAGATAGAACATTTTTGAAACGAGGTTAATATTTTTGTTTTTTTTTTTATATATACCTAACAATTCTGTTATAAATCTACTAATCCAATTACTAAGTAGTCGCAGAGTTCTAAGTTGTAAATATTGCGGTTGAAGTACATTGAGGTCACCAAACTCTCTTTTTGGTTAAGGTTAGATAGCGAAGTTCATGTTTTATAGATATGGAAAATGTAAACGTAAATGCGTGTATGAATAAGTATAAAAAAAAAAACCATTTTTATATGTAATATATTGCTTATATATTACTGTTTCTAATGTATTAATTATAACCAAATGTCAATTACAAAAAAAGTTAATCAAAAATCTTTATCCTCATCAATTCCATCATCTAATCGAATAAATACACACAACTAAATGACAAAATTTTTTAGTTTGAAAATCAACAACTAGATCTACACTGCACATTTGCTGGTCTCTATTTTGACGAGCGGATCATCCTGCTTACTAGGTTTATTCGAATGTTCGACTTACTTTGTTGTTAAATTCGGATCTGCACCGTTGTCTACTAAAAATTTAGCAGAGAAAGCATCTCTGGCATCGATAGCTCTATGTAATAATGTTCGGCCGCGGGGCCCGCGAGCGTCCGCATCTGCACAATGTTGCAACAGCGTCGTTGCAATAGAGGAACTGCGTCCGCGAAGTGCCAGCTCCAGGGGCAGCTCTCCTCTCGTTGACATAGCGTTTACTATGTCTGTTAACTGTAACAATGGAAAATTTATTGTAGTATGTACAGTATAAAACATAACTATTGTTTAATATAGCGAAATTAAATAAAATTACGAATCAAGGAAAAATAAAAACAAACATTTGCCAAAAGAGTATATGTTAGAATTCCAAAAGATTTTGTTTACGTAGTTCACGAATAGCCATCAATGATCAAATGTTATTTATTTATTTTAAAATTATGTTAACTCACGTTCATTTGTTGTTTCTCGCTCAATTTGGTTCATTGGTTTAATGACCAAAAACAAATGTGGACAGTAAAGTTTTATAACGTGAAAAAACTTCGAAAATCGTTTTGAAAAATAGTTCAGAGCGCTTATTATTTATTTTTTTTATATTATATATTATTATTTTTTCATATACACACATGTACATAGCCTTAGATTACAACTTAGTCAAGTTTAAAATATTAAACTGTGCTAACCCGAAACGTTCTGTGCAATTAATAATTTCGTTGATTAATAGGTACCACTGAAGCGTGTAAATAAACATCGATTAAGAATCCAAATTGATCACGTAACTATATCACGGAAAAAAAACGATTTATTGATTCTACCATTGTGTACAACCCGCAATAACTGCATAGTATGAAAAAATAATGTAAAATGGCTGCACAGTCGGTACGCAAATCCCGTGCAGCCTGTGGTCATAAATAACTGCTATTCTATCATGACTTATGTACTCATGTTAGTGCTCACTGTAAACTTATGGAAATAATTGTTTCACAAAAAAAACCGACTTCAATTATGACAAACTCAGTTACTTGGATTACTTGAAAAACTAAACTACTGAACCGATTTTGATGAAATTTCTATGGTACCAATTTGTAAATACTTATATCTTTTCTGTAATTTTATGAAAGGATATACATTCATATTAAATCGGTTTATAACTGACAGTTATTTTCTTTGTTTCCTCATAGGTAACAAACATAAAAAAAAAATACAATCAAAGTGAAAATCTCCTTCTTTATGAAGGCGGTTGAAAATGCATTTGAAATGCAATTGTCCCTCTAGGTATTATATATAAAGAATTGTACGAGTATCTATAGTTTTCCTAGAGACTTGTTGATGTCATATTTTTATTAGTATTCTGCAATCGATGGTTTTCGTTATTACGTACGCCGACGTCTAATCTACGTAATAATAATTAGTATAGAAGTCAGCGATATGCACCGTTCACCTGACCGAAATAAAATACAATGAGCGATAAACATTTGTGTTAAGAATTCGCGTCACATTCGTATGAGTCAATGTAACTTGATGAATTACAATTGATTACAGTTGTTCACTTTCACGATTATATAATACATTGTTTGTTGATATAGAACAAACGAATTTGATCTGAATTTTAATTGAAATACCACAAATTAACCACTGGTAGTGGTAGGTCGTCCTCTCCATACAGAGAGAGAGAGAGGTCTTTCTTCTAATATCCTGAAGACAATGCGCAGTGCAGAGAATAGTTTAATTGCATTTTAAAATAAAAAAGGTGAGCAATTTAATTCGATAAGTCTGTTCTTTTCCTTAAAAAATTCGAAACAAATTATTGAAATAAAATATTTATTGTTTTTAGTAGTTCATTCTCAAATTCAAACTGCTGTATATTCACTAACAATATTTATGAAACATTATTTTGGAAACGAATTTAGCGTATTTTGATTATTATCTATGTCCGATGTTATATAACAATTATGCATATTTACTGAATAAATCATTTGCTTTCTGTCTTATTTCTATGCTCTTTATAACCAGCTTTAAAATCTATTTTCGAATCGAAAGAAATACCTATATGTAAATATGACTGTTTCGTATCTAATTCTGGTCCGTGCAAAAACTACGATCCATCTATAAACTAAACAAGAAATTGTAATTCCTTAAACGTTTATTGGTTAAATTTAATACTCCAAGGCTTTGGATTTAGAATAACACTCAATACGTTGTTTTTATTAAAAATGTTGAAGGGTCGACCCTGTACTACTACAATTTCAATTGATTGTCACTGCCGACTGCTATTCTGATCGTTGTTTTAGTAGATCTGTACCGGAAGAAAACGATTCATCTAATAATGAGATCGAATGCCAACCTGCATGCACCAATAAACGAACGCACACTATATTTAATATATTAAAGTCGATTCCGATGTACAAATTATTAAACTATCTAAAAATTTTAATTTTAAATTGAAGGTTTAGCGAAAGTATTGTGTTACGGACCACCCAGTACTATTTAAAAGAAAGGCATTGTCTACATTCTACTGCTTGTAATGTGCTGTATTTCAATGCAACATATGTGCTTTACAGCGCTCTATATACCGTATAGTAAAGATCGAATACAAGTAAAAGAGATCAAAGAAAAAAGTGTGAAGACCTAAATAAATCAATTGACTGCCTAAACTAGAAGAAATAAAATACAGAATAAAGAGAGTTACAAATAAAAAATAAAAAAAAATCAAAAATTTATTAATCAAAAAGCGTTAGTTTGAAAAAAAAATACATAGTATAGGCTCGTATTGTTATTTGTTTGTGTAAGTCAGCATACGTATATATGGTAAAGCATCGCATATTTTAAGTTTTTTTTTTTTAGTGATTCAAATAATTACAAATTATTTAGACAAAAATATTAAAGAGCCTACTAAAAGATTGTATAAATTTTGTTTTTTTTTAATTATGGTTTTCCAGGTTTATTCTTGAACTGTAGCCAAATAAACACAAGAGTAATTTATAATTTTAGGATTTTAATGAACTATAACATTGTATGGAACATTGAAACTCTACAATCAGCTTCTGTAAAGTGTAGCGTCACATATTTTTTTATGATTTTAAGTGATTATAAGCATGGTAAAGACTTAAAACAAGTTCAGTGTTAACATTAATTTGGTTTACAACTTGCACAACGGCTGCATGCTCAGTTACACTCTATGACACAAGTCCTTGTGGCTAGCATTTGGCATTGGTCGTTCATTCACGATCGTGATCAGACGGCATGTCAGTAATCTTTGCAACTTGACTCGAGACGCACGTACTTTATCACGTTTCTAATACACGAGACATGTGAATCTGAACGCTAAGAGAAAAAATTAATTAAGGTGCTAATATTCTGTGATGCTGGTATTGTTGTGAAAACTAAAGTTGTTATCCAAAAATTATAAGTTGAGGCTGTGATGTGGTGAGTGTTCGATTTTAATAAACTCAGTGGATAAAATATTAAAAAAAAAAAATGTTTTAAGTAAATTATTATGAATCATAATGTAACATCTAAGATGACTGACAATATTGGATTTAAAAAGCTACGTATATCCAATAAAGAAATAGTATGACTGCTTGTAGTTCAATGATAAGCAACTGATCTCACAGGTGTGATGTCATGGTAAATATATTTGAGTATTCAACTGTATCGTATGCAGAAAGTGATCATAACAAAATATGTTATTTTTAATAACAAAGTCTGACTTTATTACGTCTTTTCTTTTTCTAGTCTGGTGCATTAAGTTTTAAAACCTTTTGAAAGAGATATTTAAATTTATTAGATGTACAGCAATTGAAGATAATAAGTTTCTAATGATATAAAAGAAAATAATCAGACTGGCATAAATTTAGAAAAAAGAGTTTCATACGTATTTTGGGAATACTTTAACGCTATGAACATCTTCGTTTAAGATATTACCTAAGTACTATTTTTTTCTGAAATATAAATACATATCATACATACATACATATCTGTCACGTCCGTCTCCGAATAGGGTAGGTAAAAACAATGGATACATATTATACATTTATTTATTAAATATATTATGTGTATATTTATATCAATCTAATTATATATTTATATTATATAAATATATCAAGTATTGCTTTATTTTTCCTCTATTCAATAATGCACAACCTACTTATTTATCGGTTTGCCCAATGATTGACTGGTAGAGAACACCGTCCGGTGTTAAGTCCGTCAAATGCACATAGAATTTTTACTTTGTATTAAAGTTTAAATAAATACATATTTAAATGGGACAAAAACATTTTAAAATAAGTAAGTTGTATTCAAGAATCTTTTATAAAAAATCAAATCTAATGACAGCTTAATTGTACGAGACCATTACTCTAAACGATTTTAGCTATATTAAAAATAATGATTACCCCAATCAATGTAAAACTTACAGTTTTTATAATAGAAATATTAATAAACTATTATTATGGCCCATTGTGATGAATTTACCATGATCGTTTTCAGGGGGAATCACCTGGAGGTCAATCTGATAGAATACATTGCTAGCAAAAAGGTCAATAGTCTCCATTTCTATCGATCCCTACTTATAATGAATATACAATATCATATTTACAATGTATAGATATACTTTCTGATTGTGTTAAAGATTTTTGATAGATAATAGCACCAAAACGAAGTCGATTAAATCGAGTTACAAAATGTAGGCACACCTATTGTGAACTTATTGGATTAATTACTGTTACGAATGTGTTTTATAATATTAATTATGTAATAACAATTTTATGCAAATGGATGAAATAATTAAGTTGTTTATGGAATTAAGGATATGATTTAATCATGTACAGTTTTTCTATGCAAATTTTTACTCTTGGCGCCTTAATGGTGCAACCAATCGTCTGGAATGCAGTACACATAATTATAGCATGTATGAAGAACTAACAGAGGATGGTAATAGCACCCCTTTGACCTCTTATTCTTTTTACTTTATTTTCTATTAGTTTTTACCTATAACTCAGTCTTCATACGCCATAACTGGAATTTACTGGGAGATGAAAATTAGCCATTGTCATTTTTCAAGTACTATATGTATTAAAAATTCATAACGATTGGATGAGTCGATAAGGCACCAGGTAAACGAATAGATAAATTTCACTTTCACTTTATAATTTTAATAAGTCTGCAAATATAATAAATTTACAGTTACACAATAGTTCCATAAAATAAAACCGAGATAAAAAAACAACAAAGATAATATTCCATACATTTAGTGCGCACAAAATATACCTTTCGATTTCTTAAAGACTGTTGATAACAATAATATTGTTGTTAGTAACTTTTGGAATCAATTCAAATAGATGGATTTAATTTAATTTAATATAATAGTGAATTAATGTAAATATCCGTGACGTTATTCTTAAAGCAAGTCATGCTCAGTATAATGTCCAGACTACTAACAGCGTACTAGGCGGGTCGTTGAGCTCCCTAAAATATGTTTGAATGCAATGATGACTGACTTATCCGTCACACTCGTGAACAGTTATTGTTAATGAAATTTTACTTATAATGTCAATTATAATTATTGTATCAAACAAATATAAAATTATTATATACATAAATTTTTGAAAATATTAACTATTGAAGTTTGCGAACTCTTCTCATGTAATAACTTTTCGAGCACAGCACTATAATAATAGAATAGTAAGAATTTAAAAGAGACTGTAAATTAATAAAAATAAACAAATATTTTCTAATCAGAACATTGCGATTTGCTCTACGGACATTACATTACATTTTGTGATTTTTCAGTGTTAGTTTATGCGTAATTTTATACAGAAGCAAAAAGAAAGAAAGAATAGGCCACCCCTTCCTTTCTCGTGGGTATTGTAATGTAAGAAGCTGCCTAAGGGAAATGGTCGAGGGATGGTCAGTGTCCTTCTTAAAAAATCGGCATAGCCTAACTGCGATTGCCAACCCGCCTGCCAAGCGAGACAATAGTTAGTGGCTGATATAATAATTAATAAAATTTGAAAAATATCAGTAAAAATTGAGCGTTTCCATATTGTCACCTATTCGAGTTTGAACATGCTAGAAAAATTATTCATCATTGTTTACAATATGCATGTTATTGTTTTGTCTTTGACCTTCTCATTCTTTGCCATTATGCCAGAAGTCTATGTTAATCCGTTACAAGATGGCATTTTGTTGACAATACAGTAACGTTTGATGCTAATAAGCTAACAAGAAATAAAATAAACGCATATAAGTAATTTAAATATATTTCGTTGTAAATGAAAATTATTAACGGCAAATATAATACAAACATCTTAAGATGTACTATTTCATATATTAAAAATTGTAGACATTTTGTAAATGATAACATTATAGAGCTGAAATTTCTTGCAGGAGTTATTATTACCGACATAGTACAGAATTAAAAAAAAAAATTATATGTTGCAAAATAGGAAAACTTGTAATTGCAACATAAGAAAATTAAAATTGTCTACAAACAAGATATTTATCGGAAATCACTTAGCAAAAACAGGTCAGCCAAGTGCATAATAAGTAGAGTTTATTACTGAGCTTTGCCGTTTTGAATAAGACAGCTTCTAATTGCGTTGTTTTAAAAACGTTTTAAACTTCAGTTTATCGAAGTTTGACAACGTTGTAATTATCTGTCAATTTAAAAAAAAATTAACAAGTTTCAATGTTTCTGAGTAGTTATTTAATAAGATCTCTGTTAGCAAATTATATCGTTAATTATGCAATAATATTCTTTTTAAAGTTGTGTATTAAGCTAAATCGGATTTGATAGCAAAAATATTTAACCAATTTCAAATTAAAATATGAATTTATGTGTGTAGATTTTTTATTATTATTATTATTTACATGTCCTACATATATAAATATATAGTTACTTTTTATTGTATTATATGTTCAATTTTACTTAGGTATTATTTAGTTCATCTTTAGCAGTACAGTTTATACCTAGTTATCTATGGGATGAGTCTGCCATTGTATATTAATTTTTTTAACATGTCCAATTTAAATTATGAATAATAAAGATTTTACAATACAATAAAATGAAGTGGGTATAAAAATTTTAACGAATTGAATTATTAACGTTTTAGTTCGCTAGCAGAGTACTTTTTAAATAATCGATCAGAAGTATTGAAAATTGGTAAATTGTTTTTAAAGGTTGACAGAAAATTACGACGTTGCTACACTTCGATAAACTAAAGTTATCAATACTCCTAATAACTAACCACAGTCTACAGACAGTTTGTTGCTACTACTGCAGATTGTATTATGACTAAGTGCTAAGAATAGCCGCGATTTTATCCTTGTGTTAATTTGTATAAGTACGTGTGAAAAGGTGCTTTTGTAATATTGACTATAAAAGTACTCGTAGTAAAAATGAGAAAATAGGATAATAAAATATTAATATATCTGATGTATTATAGTACTTGCAGATAATAGTAAAACACACAGCAGTTACACTACTTCAATAACCAAAATACTTGATTGAATTTGAAACCGTGTAGTGACAAGGAATAAAATAAGGATATTACATTATTAAATTGTTTTTCAAGGTATAAAGTTAATCAATTATTATAAACTATGGTAATCCACACTGACGCTATTCAATGAAAAAAACTAGTTATTAAATATCGTAACATTATTTTAAAAGGAACTTTATATTAATTACATTATTGTAGAAAACCAGTTGTAAGTAGGTTATGGTTATTGTGGACTGATCAATTTATTTACTGAAAAATTTATTTGTTAATAAAGCATAATAAAAATCTACCTCATCTTTTCATGACATTTATTGTTCCCACATCTTAATATAAATTTAGTAGTAGTCGATCATGTCTTACGAAAACCTAATCAACATACATTTTAAAATATCTCAGAATAGTAAGCCCTGAGGTAAATAAAAATTATAAATAATAAAATTAATTTATATAAATTAAAATAATTTATAGTCATTGTTAATATGATTTTTATAGCAATAGAAATAACTAGTAACTGCTTACCACATTCTTTAAAATTTAAACAATTTTAAGATAAACCAAGAATAAATCCTCAGATATTCTTTTCGCTAGTTCTTTGCTCGATGTTGATAATAACACAGATGCCATCACAAATGATTCATTCCGATTTGTGTTTAAAACGCATGATTATTGAGGAACACGAGAATATTGTACAAGAAAAAATCACTAAGAAGTAATATATTACTGATTTATTATCATGTGAGATCACGTTCTTTAACATACGATATAACAAGTAATATTCATATACTACAACTGGATGATAATCTTGTTTTGTAATAACAAATTGTTAATTACTAGATAATTACCACGTAATGTATTTATTCGAAACTCCTCATCGGCAGATTTTATAAAAACTCGATACGTGATTTGAATTGATTTATTGGAAAT